AACAACATTGACGTTCAATTCAGATCGCCACGCTCACTTATTTCAACATCCGCATTTAGTAAGGTCCTTCCGAAAGCAAATGGACCTGTTGCGGTTCTTATTGCTATCTTGTTGTTGTTGTTGTTGACAAACGCATCCCAGATGACTACGAACCGCGTCACTGTCCGTCTTGAGGTTTCCACGTGCTCGGCCAATGCGTGAACCCATTGTTGACAATACCTGCTTGCAACGTGCAAAGAGACATATCCAATGGCCTTTTAGGGAACCTTGTCCGAGCTTAACGAGACAAGGATTTTTTTTGCGCTTGCAAGTTGAATTTGAGGTCGGAAACGGGGCATCAAACTTTATCAGCCTCCGCTTACAAACATCAACAACACCATTCTTTCTTTCTTTCTTCCAATGCCAATCTTCAAAGTCTCATCAGCGACAGGACAGCACCGAGTTTGTGCGGCGGGGTATTTAGGACGACCAAAACGTTTCGCGAAATAATTCCGCTTAAATTGTTACATGTGATTCCCTTATACTGGGGTGGAGTGCGGCGGTGTGGCGCAGTGGGTTGTACAAACCGAATTGGATTCCCAGCCACGGCTAAAGTCGGCGACGAGTGAGATCGAAATTTGGTCGAGGTACGTCACCACCTCCCAACCGTTAACAACTAGTTTGGTGAAGTATGGTCACGCATCCTACGTGGCGTACTTGGTGGAGGGGGCATTTCACTACGGGTGAATTGGATTGCGCAGCTCCCACGTTACTGGTGTTAGAATCACCGCAGTAAAATATTGCAAGTATTTTTTTATCTTGTGTAAAATTGTTGCATTGTTCATCCATCCCTTTATATATATAAAACATATGTTATTCGCGTGAGTATGTATGCCCATGTAACATTAAGCTATATCATTCCACCAGTATGTTCGAAACGTTATTAGCAAAACATATATTTAAAATAAATAAAACTTATACCTGAAAGCGAGAGCATATTTAGACGCGTTCCTTAGAACCGGCAAGAGTTACTTTTTAAAATAAAAATTGACGCTCGTATCATCTAAAGCACGGTGCTTTCGAACAATTCCTCGACTTCTAAGAATTGACAGCAACTTCATCATCGTCATGATGGGACGCAAGCAGTACCTACTGTTATTACGAACAGATCCACATGTCTGGGATATATAAAGCAAGCCCTCTTACGTCCGACAGTCAACAGAGACATTTTTCAGAGCCAGACACAGCTTTCTATAATTTCCTGGCACGGTAACTCATCCAATGCCATTAATCAGCGATGAGTGGATAACCCTACCTCGGGCCTATTTACGTGTTAAGTTCTGCCTTGCTAGATCAGCACGTGCGTTCATATAATACCAAGAAAATAATCAGAAAGAAACTGATATTACACAGGAGCAAAATTAAACAATAAAAGGGAGTCATTGTTTTACCAAATTGAAATCCATATTTATTTCAAACGTTTAATGTTTCCCACCTCACTTTGATTAGCGATATATTTCAATAAAAATATTGCTACATTAGCTACAGAATGGGCTAAAAAGAAAAACAGACAATTCATCAAAGCTTTTCAGGAAAAGGTCAATATAAATAAATCCAGGTGCACATAGCTGGATTCCGTGAGAAATTCTCTTCATATATTGCTTTACAGTACTTTTTAACTGACACTATGTACGCATACGTGCGATGTGTAAACTCAAATCTAAGTTGAACAGATCCTACATTAATATTTCAAATGTATTCATTAATTTCGTTCTCTAAATAACATTCAACTTAGAACTTTACATGTACGAGTGAGGACATTTTTGAGATTATTTTTAGGAGGCTTCTCGTCCTTGCATCTTGAAATCGCGGAAATGTTAGCTTCATGCACAGCCCCAGACCTGCTGAACCTTAAAGGCGCCATGGTGGTGAGACGTTAACTTCCTTGCCTGGTATGCAGGTCGTGGGTTCGATTCGGACCTTGGCGCCCGCTGGATATTTGGATATTTTCTCCGGGTCCTCCAGTTTTTCCCTCCACATTTAGAAACACGTGGTTCGAGCATTTGGCTTTTCCACAGAAGACACTTCGTTGAGCTATTATTTGTGGCCAGTTCACTTCCGAGAAAGATCCATTTAGCTAAGTGGGCTCCACTTGGTGAAATAAAAACATTCTTAGTTTACTAGTTCATCAAACCAACCGTTCCGAACCACTATTCCTGGAGAAAGCCAATTAAAGAAAAAAACATCAGCCGTCACTAAATTATGAAATCCCGTGGTGGCTCTGGTGTCAGAGTACCGGTGCCGGCAGTGCCAAATGATGGGTTCGATTCCGGTAACCAAAGCGCGAATAAAAAATAGGTTCTCGACTGTATCGAGCTGATGTTCTCAGGTCTACACAAAATGTCCAGGTCATTTGTTACATTCGTTTTTGTTTTTCACCACTTCAATTGGCACGTTCCGAGTTTGATAGTTAAAATGCAAATTATTCTTCAACCAAGCCACGGCCTTCAAATAAAACAATATATATTGGTGACGTTTCAGGCAATGACCTTTCTCCATAGCACATAAAAGGAGATGCTCAAGAGATAGAGTGGATAAATTAAGGTTTGAGAATGCACTTTACACCATCGGGTGATCACTAAAAGTAGGGTGTCGGGTATCGAAAAGTATTACAAGACAAATTTATATTACAAGTACAGTGAGGGAAAAAAGTATTTGATTTGTACGTTTGCCAACTGACAAAGAAATGATGTCTATAATTTTAATGGTTTATTTGAACAGTGAGACAGAATAACAACAACAAAATCCAGAAAAACGCATGTCAAAAATGTTATTTTAATGAGGGAAATAAGTATTTGACCCCCTCTCAATCAAAAAGATTTCTGGCTCCTAGGTGTCTTTTATACAGGTAACGAGCTGAGATTAGGAGCACACTCTTAAAGGGAGTGCTCCTAATCTCAGCTTGTTACCTGTATAAAAGACACCTATCCACAGAAGCAATCAATCAGATTCCAAACTCTCCACCATGGTCAAGACCAAAGAGCTCTCCAAGGATGTCAGGGACAAGATTGTAGACCTACACAAGGCTGGAATGGGCTACAAGACAATTGCCAAGCAGCTTGGTGAGAAGGTGACAACAGTTGGTGCGATTATTCGCAAATGGAAGTAACACAAAATAACTGAGGGAAATAAGTATTTGACCCCTCTGCAAAACATGACTTTGTACTTGGTGGCAAAACCCCTGTTGGCAATCACAGAGGTCAGACGTTTCTTGTAGTTGGCCACCAGGTTTGCACACATCTCAGGAGGGATTTTGCCCCACTCCTCTTTGCAGATCTTCTCCAAGTCATTAAGGTTTCGAGGCTGACGTTTGGCAACTCGAACCTTCAGCTCCCTCCACAGATTTTCTATGGGATCAAGGTCTGGAGACTGGCTAGGCCACTCCAGAACCTTAATGTGCTTCTTCTTGAGCCACTCCTTTGTTGCCTTGGCCGTGTGTTTTGGGTCATTGTCATGCTGGAATACCCATCCACGAACCATTTTCAATGCCCTGGCTGAGGGAAGGAGGTTCTCACCCAAGATTTGACGGTACATGGCCCCGTCCATCGTCCCTTTGATGCGGTGAAGTTGTTCTGTCCCCTTAGCAGAAAATACCCCCAAAGAATAATGTTTCCAACTCCATGTTTGACGGTGGGGATGGTGTTCTTGGGGTCATAGGCAGCATTCCTCCTCCTCAAAACACGGCGAGTTGAGTTGATGCCAAAGAGCTCCATTTTGGTCTCATCTGACCACAAAACTTTCACCCAGTTGTCCTCTGAATAATTCAGATGTTCATTGGCAAACTTCAGACGGGCATGTATATGTGCTTTCTTGTGCAGGGGGACCTTGCGGGCGCTGCAGGATTTCAGTCCTTCACGGCGTAGTGTGTTACCAATTGTTTTATTGGTGACTATGGTCCCAGCTGCCTTGAGATCATTGACAAGATCCTCCCGTGTAGTTATGGGCTGATTCCTCACCGTTCTCATGATCATTGCAACTCCACGAGGTGAGATCTTGCATGGAGCCCCAGGCCGAGGGAGATTGAAATTATAGACTGATCATTTCTTTGTCAGTGGGCAAACGTACAAAATCAGCAGGGGATCAAATATTTTTTTTCCCTCACTGTAACTTACTTGTGCCACACAGCTAACAGCGCATAACTAAATAACTAACACAAATACATAAATTGTATTGATGTGGAGAACTCATTGAAGGGTGGATTAAAGTCTCTTGAAGCGACTTCAAAGACAGTTACGTGACATCATCTTCTGAGTCCTTTCTCTCCGCCACAGAGCGATGGCACTGCTTGCCGCGCAAGCTCTGAGCAGAAACATCTTCATCTCACGACATCACGCAGAGACATCACAATTGCAAGACCGTACGAAAGAAAAAACTGTAAACGTTTCTGAACAGCCGAAGCAGATGTTCATCGGGCCAGGTGACCGCCTCACCACAACCACAAATATTATGGCTCTGGCAAACTTTGCCAGCCCTACTCCTGCACGACTATTGTGTCTGCTCCATCCGGCCCCCATTCCTGAACTAATCCGTCACGGAAGCGGTTCCCACCCCGAACAACCTCGCACGTTTTGGTCCGACACCTGCAATCTCGTTTTGAACCACGCCCCAATCGCGTAACGGTTTTGAGAGCGGGACTGGAGGTGCTCAACACGCGCAAAGGGATCGACGTCAGATGCCTTTGTCGGCGCGTGAAGCCGCCGCACGCTGCGCCAAGACCGCGCGCAAGTGCCTCTGACGAGCCGTGGGCCCTGTCTGTGCGCCGCTCATCGCCGACGCGCGCTACTCGTGAACTACGGCCGATCTCACGCGAGTCACGTGGGAGTGTAAGCGATGTTGAGCTTTGCGTTAGTGTCATTTGCTTGCCTCTCGTCGACCGAGGAAGTGAAATGATGGGAAATGTTTCAGATAACGAGTCAAATTAAACACAAAGGCACGATTACATTTCAGATCAAAGGCCTTCGTTAAATCTTTGTACCCAAAGTGTTTCTTTATTTTAACGTTGTGTATGTTTTCATTTTACAGACGAAATAAAATTCCAATGTTGGCACTCTTTTAACGCTACCAATACTCACAAGGTCACTTGAGCTTTTAATCTTTCTATCGCTTACTCCAATGGCTTTCAAAACAACATTGCACACTTTCATCATGAGATGAACCTCATTATAAACCTCAAACCACGTCAATATTCAGACACTGTCAACAACATAAGTTGTCACACACAACACGCACATGAACGTATTGTGCGTTTGCTGACAAAACAATTAAGGATAATCTCACGAGGAAGCATTTGAAGCATTCACATAACTTGACGTGCCCGATCGTCTGTCACAGCTGCCGCTGGACAGCGCACCGGAATTCTACGGGACAGTGACATGGTCGAAAAGTAGCTCGTGGTTCGAGCCCATGGCAGCCCCGGTTAATACGAACCGTAAATACTGCTGCGCTGTCCGCCTTCGCAGTGGACGTTAAATACCCCACGACGTTATTCAGGAAAGAGGAGGCCACGTGTTTCAGTGCCACGTTGTAATTTGGGATTAATTTACAGAAATTTGGTAAATTGCCCCACAAGTTACTTAATTGGGAAAAGCCGCAGAGCAACCCCCTACTAGCAGAGTAATGGCGGCGGACTGCAGGCAGGTGCTGCATTCATCTTGTGCCGCACAGGGACAGCTGCCACTTGGGGTGCCCCCTTAAAAGGCAGCAGGGCACCTTAAGACGTATTGCAATAAGTGATAACGGCGATGACAGTTATTTCGTATAAAGGGGTTCTCAAATCGACTCCTCCAAGCCTTGGGCAATGCACACAATCTGGGCGAAGTCCAAACCGGCGCAGTCAACACACCTCACGCTTCATCATCTCCCCGAGGCACACAGTGGCATAGCACGACGAGGGTAGATCAAAGGTGATGACCAGGGAGGAAGAGGAGCCAACAGCAAAAGTCTCCTCTGAGCCCGAAGTCTCAGGGACGCCACTGCCATTGCCCGCGGACGCCTCCTCCGCATCAAATCGAACGTCGTCGCCTCCTCCAGGAGCCGGCAAACAGCTTCGCGACGCCCAACTCTCCGATTTGAGGTCGCTTGCGGCACCGTCGCCAGATGCCGGGCGAGCGGATTCCGTGGCCTCGAGGTCGAGGCCCTGGGCCGCTCTCGACGAAGAGAGGCAACTTGCGCGACCGGCGGCGCCCGGGAGGCTCCCACGCTCCGCGGTCTCCGCCGCGTCGGCGGCACCGGCGCGGCCGACGCGGAGGAGGGTGGCGCCGGGCAGGCCCCGCTCCGTCCAGGCGAGAGAGACGTTGGCGGGGCGTGCCAGGAGCCGGCGGTAGGCGCCGGGGAGGCTGACGCGCAGCTCGGCGACGCGGAATGCGGAGTCCGCCAGGCCGTCCCGCCGCAGCGTGGCCCGGTAGGCCGCGCCCGCCTCGTTGTCCGGGTACCGCACACTGCTGCCCGGCATGGGGAGCACCACCTGGTTCGGGCGGCAGCGCCACGGATTTGCTCGCGCGGCGGATTGGAGACGGGCGCGTCCGTGCGCCGCGCGGCGAATACCGCCGCCGTTTAAAATGTGATTACCGCGAGGCAACGCGAGGGTTAGCGTGGTGGCGACTGCGTGCGGTGCAACCTGCCAACTGTAGGCCGCAAATGATTTCAAGTGACATTTAAGGGCTCTAACTATTTTTTGAGAATCCCTCTCGTGGATAATGTTTCAAAAGATTGGTAATCTTAAGCCAGAGCCGGTGTTCAATTATTCAGGGTAACTGGGGAAGAGGGGTTAGTGACCCAGATAAAACAAAAACACAGATAAAACAAAACATAGCTCAAATAGACGATTTGTTTACCCAAGCAGAATGGGGATAAGTAGAATGTGTTGTCTGTGTTTATTGTTCATCTGACTAATATGCACGTGAGCCACGAGCTCAGCATAGCTAATTACAGAAGCAGTACATGTAATTGGCACTCATTAGCGTGGAATATCACATCTTCATTTCTTATTTCGCAAGCACGGTTCATCCACCACTGGATATAATTCACCCGTGGATAACAACGTTTATTGTACGTACCCCCCCCCCCCCCCCCCCAAAAAAAAAAATCTGCAATTGAATGTCAAGACATCTGCTTCCAATGTATGGTCCAATTCCTTTATTCTGCCAGAACATTTTAAGCATGCAAACAAGAAACACCTGCATGGCTATGTCAAACGCCTACTATCTGTGCTGTCTCAACAAGACATCGCATCCTAAACCACAAACTGAGTGTGCGCATTGCCGGACGCCAGCTGTGGCAGCACAACACCTGGCAGTGATACCGCTCGAATGCACGTCCATGCAATGTTTGCATCAAAATAAAAACGTCTACAAGCTGAACTCGCGTCTCCACATAGAAATAAAGCGTGTGTTTCATTAATCTGCCTATTGGCTTCAGAAACAAATGTTTATCAAGCATACATTCATTAAGCAGGCAAAGTGTTCCCCGGTTTCGACTTTCTAAGTCTCATCAGCCAGAGTCAGACGTATTCAACGAACGCTTCTAGATTACCAGATGCCGTTGGCACAAGCACTCCCCTACATGACTGCTCAAGACATCCCGGAGTATTAAACCTGTCCAGAGTTTGCTCACATAAACAAATTGCCGTTTTACAATATCGGTTTGGGAAACCAATAGGCTGATGAGACTAAAACGTATTTCTATTTGTATCTTTATAGATGGGTTGACTATAACGCGTTAAAAAAAAACCTCTAGATTCACCAATTACCATATATTCTTACCTACATGGCGCACAAGTCGAATTATGCCAGTGAGGCTCGGTCGTTGTCAAGTTATGCAAACGGACTGCCAATGTTACATTTAGGCTAATTGCCTGAGCATCGTAAAATTAACTGACGTTCCATGACAAAATAAATGCATTAACTGCTCCATAAACAGGGAGTCCGCGCAATGGACAATACATATACCTGGTCGATTGTGTAAACCTCATTAGCTTCCTCTTCCTCAGTCACAACATGCACCTGTGAAACACAACACAGTTTACACAAAAGTTATTACACACACACCTACAGGTCCCACAAACGGTAACAAAAAAAATTCAATTCAAATGTTTCTGCTTCATGCAAAGGATTTCCCGATGTTTTTTGTATCGATTCGTAAAATCCACGAATTTACATGCCTCATCAGAATAATTTGGTTTTTCATTTGTCCAGAAGTCACGTCACTGACACGTCATCATCCCTTTCGCCATTTTTTGTGTGCCAATAGTGATGTCACGATGTTTAGCGTGAACATTTTGCATTCAAAGGAATAAAATAAATATCCAAAATTGTCCATGCAAATCTAAAATTCAGATGTTTTAACATTCAAAACTCATTCCTATACAATACCCATTACAAATTGGTATAAAAATATCCCTTTAAGTTGTGAATACACACTTTAAAACATCTGCAGTATAAACTTGGCCGCTGTGATGCGAGCCATTTCATTGCCACACCACTGCCTTCATTAACCACTACCCAAGCAGAGATGGGGGCCGGTTATTATTTTACTCCGACTACACGAAACACACAGTCACCCGTAGATTCGTGCCTGCGCTTCCAAAGGGTCATGTTACATCAATTTGGCCCCGCTAAGTTCTGTTGGATTAATATGTCCTTTTTCACAACTTCAACAGCACAACCAAGGCATTTGCGGCAAACCATCTGGCTCTTGTGGAAATAAAGATTCCCATGCCTGGGTGGTTTTACAAGTAAATACGTGATTGCTCCGTTTGTTTACAGTGCCACCACGTGTGCACGCTCTGGCAGGATGGCATGGGGCATAAACATCCTCATGTGCGCGCCTTCCTTCCATCGACAAACCACGCAACACCACGCCAGTCTTGGCACTACAACTAATTGTCTACCGCGGGTTTCCTATCGGCATATCTCATCTCTTATTCTCACCCCCACTCTCAGTCACAGCTCTTTAATTTCCCAAGCCTCGCCGTCATTCTCGTAAACAATGGAGGATTTCGCTGCGTGCGTTTTATTGCCGCTCCTGCCAGGCAGGAATATCTCCCCTCGTGCTTGCACGGCACAACACATTTCATCTTACTGAACTGAAGCCCTCATTTGACAAGTTGTTTTTGCATTGGATGGACATGCGCCTCGAGACTGAATTGGTACGAGAGGCGAATTATTATAATCGCATCTTGTTACAGCAGTTACAGGTGACGCCGCAGACAATGCAGGAGGGGAAGATGGTACAGCCTAGCCGTGCGCTCTGGTAACAAGCAGCATGATCGGGTTTTGTTCTCCATGTTGTGGGGTTGTACCACGCAATCATTACGATGCACGGCGTTCTTAGAACCAGCGCTGTAACATCTCCTTCAGTGGGATGTTCTTTAACGCAATCGGTTCGCGTCGCCCTGTGAGAGATCCGAGTGGATTTATTTTAAGCGCATGACATGATGCGGACAGCGCAATTGGGGTAAAGTTGTGAAAAAAAGACCAAAACAAATCCATGAATAAAGCAAGACGCCAAGAGAAATGTTTCGTGTGTTCCCCCGATCAGAAGTGCACAATCAGTGGGAACGTGCAGGCGTTTAAAAGCTAAAGTTATGTATTTAACCAGACAGCTGGAGAGTCGAATTGGAGAGGATGCGCCACGTTGCTGGCATGGGGCGTGGAGTGCTGTGAAGCAGCACAGAAGATGACGACGAGGATGACTTCCCCGGAGGTCTCTAACCTCCAATACTAAACAGTTGGTGAGGGCAACTCAAAGATTAAACCTACACTACGGCTCCAACTTGACCGTGAGGTTTTTGTAGCATGACCGGGCCAATTAAAATAAATTCCATAATGAGAGCATGGCTTTTTCATCATTGTTAAATGTCACTTTCACTTTACTGCTCAGACAAACTGTAAAAGGGCGGGGGCAGGATGCAGACTCGCAATAGCGGGCAAGACTGGCGCAGGTCAGAGGGGAAGGGCAGGAAGGCGCGCGTTGGTATGCTCTGCCAACGCTCTGGACAACTCTACTGGACAACTCTACCGGACGACTCCACTGGACGAGGCTACTGGACTAATCTACCAGATGATGACTAGACGAGTCTGCCAGACGCCTCTATTGGATGCCTCCACTGGACGACTCCAACGGACGATTCTACCGGACGACTCCAATGGACTCTACCAGACGACTCCACCGGACGACTCTACCAGATGACTCGACTGAACAACGCTACTGGACGACTTTACGAGCTGACTCCACTGAACGATTCCACCAGACGATTCTACTGGACGACTCTATCAGATGATTCTACCAGATGACTCTACTGGACGACTCTACCGGACGACTCCACCGGATAACTCTACCGGACGATTCCACCGGAGGACTCTACTGGAGGACTTTACCGGACAACTCCAACGGACGACTCTTCCGGACTCTACCCAGATGACTCGACTGAACGACTCGACTGAACGACTCCACCAGAAGACTCTACTGGATGACTCTACCAGATGATTCTACCAGATGACTCTACTGGACGACTCTACTGGACGACTCTACTGGACGACTCTACCGGACGACTCCACCGGATGACTTTACCAGACGATTCCACCGGAGGACTCTACTGGAGGACTTTACTGGACAACTCCAGTGGACGACTCTTCCGGACGACTCTACCCAGCTGACTCGACTGAACGACTCTACTGGACAACTCTACCAGACGACTCTACTGGGCGACTGCAAGGCCTTACCTGCAAATTACTCAATATGGGATCACACTCAGCAGCAACATCGCCTAGTACTGCGAAAACCTGCCAGGAGCCTCCTGAAAAGGAGTTGTGAGTCTTAAGCGAGGAAATCTCTGGGTAAATAATATTGACGGTGACGATGACGCACAAAAGGCACGATTCACTATTAAGAAAACTGTTCATGTAGGCATTGTTTAGGGATCGTGTTACACACAAAAGCACCATTCGCCTTGCCGACGACAGCGTGGTCCGGTGTATTTTAACGGCACGGCAAAAAACGGGAGCGCCACTCTAGAGCAGTTGGACACCAACACCAGCTCCTGCCCGCACGCAGCCGTAGGAAAGACAAATCGCGTGTTACAAACATAATGTTTTTTTTTAAAACGCTCGTATACGGTACGTCGAAAAAATAAAAAGTACATTTTGCTCAGGCATCTGTGCCAATATAACTATCGTAACGCAAACAGATGAAAGCTCACGGCGGTTACTTCTTCGCACGCCTCAATCTTCTCTTTGTTAGAAAGAAAACGCTAAGTGAATTTGCACTTCATTTCCGTCCCAACCAATTCGACTGGCGACCACCACCAGTGCAGCAACTTGTTTCCTCTAGGGATTTGGTTTCTGTCTGTTTGTCTTGTCTCTTATTTTTCCTCTCTCTCTCTCTCTCACTCTTTTCAGAGAGGTTATGGGATTTAGTAGGTGGTAGGGTTGCAGGGTTGCAGGGGTTAAGGGGTGACGTGGAGTTGGGGATTGACTGGGGGGGGGGGGGGGGGGGGGGAGCAATAGGATGGGGGTGCAAGTGCCGACTAACTGGTTAGGCCCAGGGCCCCAATTCCCAGCTGACGTAACGCGGGCACGCCACCGACCGTGGTAATTGTTGGAAGCGATCGGGGGGCCCCGGCAGTTGTTTTTTTTTTTTCCGGATAAGTGCAGGAAATGCGCGGGAGGAACAAAATTTTTTTTTTTCTACCGTAGCCGTGTGCGCCCCGCGACAAAAGGGCATCTGGCTCTCGCTCTCCCAACGCAAAGCGTGGCGACTCGCCACGCACGCACGCACTGCTCCCCCCCCACCCCCCCCCTCCATCGCGGAGCCTTCCATCAGCGGGAGGACAAAGAAGCCCACGGCTCTCGCGGACACAATGACAGAAAAGCAGAGCCGAGAGAAGCACAAGTAAAAAAAAAATTAGAGTCCGCGTGTGTCTCCTAAACTTACCCTCTCGGTGCCCTTAACTTAATTCCCCCCCCCCCCCCCCCCTGTAAGCGGATAGGACCTCATTCAGGCGGGTTCACAGCTGTTATTAAGCAGTTACAAAGTCTCCACTTTCACAGCCCCCTTCCCACGGGTTGTGCTTTCCGCGCGCGTGGCCTCGGACCGAACTCCCCCTCGTCCCTGCTGGGGCCCTCGCGCCTCGTGGCTGCGAGGGCCAAGGCTGCCCAGGTATAGCGAGCGAGCGTGCGAATGGGCGGGTGGGCGCTAATGCCTTATACGCGCGCGGCCTTGCATCCGCCACCTTCCTCCCCCCCGGGGGGCTCGTCCCACCCGTCCGTCTCGACCGTCCCACCGGTTCTTGCCCGGCCACTTGACAGACCAACGGGCACCCAGAGGTCGGGGAAAAAAACATTTCCTCTTGCGGGTGCCTCCCCGGGGCTCATCGTGCGTGCACGGCGCACGACTGAATCGAGCTCCGAGAGCCTGTTAGCAAGCGTAGTGATGGCCGCGCGGTGGATCGAATGTCCCGTGAAAATGAAAACATTTACCCCTGCGAAATAATCAATGGGGAAAGTGGAAAGAAATGATCTTCTTTGCAATGTGTGAAACGGCCATTGGCGTCGGCTGGCAAATTATTTCCTACGCACATAAATGTTTGTCGCTTTTCCGCTACACGCACTTAAATGTACGGCACGTGATTTTTTTTGTTCGTTTTTGTAAATGTCACTTTGCAAAAAAAATTTGTGAGGTACAGTACGTTCACTTTGGGGCCCATTTATTTGGGCCCCCTAAATCCGGGCAAAGTCAGAAGACAACGCATCTCAACGATTTCTCGAGCAAGCCTCATGCATTAAAAACACAATCTGATTTAATGTATGTAAGATGCCAAATTCTGATACAACATTAACCACGGCTGTAAACGTAACTTTTCCTCGAAGTGATAGATCTTCATTCGAGGGAATTACACGAAGAGTGGCTATTTACCAATGGCCACTCTTCGTGCGCTTGTGCCGACGTTACACCAAGGGCTGGCTTTCATTACAGAAAGGTATTCATCAGCGTCACGTAACCGCTCACAAACGGCATCCTGTACAGAGAGCGGTGTAATTTTTCTAAAATGTTGCACCACGTAGAACAACCTTCAAAGGGACGAATGGATGTAAATATGATTTGGGCTGCAAATCATATTCATGGTGGACTGGGCAGCACAACCCACTTAAAACTGTGCACCGGCCTCTGGCTGTTCTCGGGCTCGTGTGCGTTCTGGAATTGTTGAGTTGGCGGAGGCCTTTTCTGCCACCTGTCATATATTCATGACTTTCACAACATTCCTGGAAACATCGTGCCAACAGTGCTCACACCAGCGCTGGCGGAAGAGCCTCCGCGAGGCTTAGAAAGCTCCTCCAAGAGGTTATTTGGCCTACTCTTCCATGCTGGTTAGGTGTCTAGGCAAGAGGACGGAGTAACCACATTTTACGTAATCGCACTGTGGGTGTGCCGATTTATACTGCTGGGTGAACAGAAGGTGGGGGGTGGGGTTAGAGGGAGGAGTTTATGAAACTTGCACCGCTGTCTTAACTGCCGCGCCGGGAGATTGAAACTGGCGACCTCTGGGTCGCACGTCCAGTGTGATAACCATTACACCACCGCAGGACTCCCTCGATATCAACATACAGTAAAATAAAAAGTTTTCGTTCCAATGAAAAGTGATCGAGGATATGCCCAAAAGGCACTGCATTTTCCGGACATCCCGAAGTAGACAAACTAGACTGAAACTATTTTTTATTTTACCAGAGAAGGCCCACCGAGCCATATAGCTCTTTTTCAGAAGCGACCTGGCCACAATTACTCTAAAAGCATCTTCATCGTAAATGTGGAGGGAAAAATCCACACGACCACGTGGAGCGAGACGCGCAAACTCCAAATATACGGGGGCTGGCGTAAGGGTCGGGATCCTGAACCCACGACCTCCCGTACACCGGGCGAGGTAGTCAACATCTGCTAGACACAGTGGCGCCCAACTCTCATCAGACAGCGGGCGAGGCTCGCTCACGGGCGCCCCGCCGTCGCTCACCGCGTCCCGTCGGCGGCCGGCGCCCTCCGGCAGCACGAGATCCCCGCGGGCCGCGCGCCGGACTCCGAGGAGCCGCACGCGCACCGTGGCGGCTCGATTCCACAGCGCGCTGCAGTAGGCCTGCGGGTAGAGGAGGCGCGCCGAGCGCGGCAGGGCCACCCAGGCGCGGGCGGCTCGCCCGCCGCCGCCGCCGCCGCCGCCGCCGCTCCCTCCGACGTCGTCGCCGCGGGGGGGGCCGCAGCGGTGCAGGGCGCGCAGCATCAGTCGCTCGCGCGTCTTGTGCGCCGGCATCAGGGACAGGGCTAGCTTGGCGTCGCCTGTGCGGGGGGGGGGGGGGGGGCGGTGTGAACTCATCTTGGGGGGGGTCCCACGGTGGCTAGATTTTATCTCGCTCGCCTGGTACACAGGAGGTCGTAGGTTGTATATTTGGAGTTTGGGTGTCTCTCTGTGGTTGCATGGCTTTGTCCCTGGGTCCTCAGGTTTTCCCTCCACATTTATAAACATGTGTTTAAGAGTATTTGGCTGCTATAAATTTCCACATGAGCCAGTCCATTGAGCTTTCATTTGTGGCTCTCTTCTGAAAAAGGGATATATATATAGCCCAGTGGGTCTTAACCTGGCAAACTAAAAAAATAGCTCAGTTTCAGTTTATCTTGTCGGTCTGCGGTATGTTTATACTCCACACAGGCGAGTTGTCTTCTCATGCTCCGTGCGCTGTTGTGATACGTCTGTTGACCGTCTCCCTGCCCTTACATCCCGTCTGGCTCACAGGTGCAATGCAAACATCCGTCTCCACGTACGAGAGACACGCACACGGACGCCCCGTGGAGCTGTCGAGCGCAGCGGTTAAGGCGCTGCACGAGGGACCTTGAGCTGAGTTTGATTCCTTGCCATGGCTAACACCAGCGGCAAGCTGTACAATTAGAATGTTTGTTTTTAGAATTTGGAATATTTATTAATCCTGGAGGAATCCGATGAGCCACAAGGCTCTCTTTTGCAGATGTCCAATCGGAGCGGATAAGAACGTTACAGCAATACAAAAATTCAGGTAAACATGTTACCCAAACACAAATAAAACTAAACCATCCCCATCCTACCAGGCAAAGCACACTGAGGGATTGACTTCTTTTTCAAAAGCAACCTGGCCACAAATGATAGCTCAACAAAGTGGCTTATCTTTTGGACAACTATAGCAGCAAAAATAATCTAATTGGTCTAACTAAACGCATGTTTCTAAATGTGGAGGGAAAAACCGGAGAACCCGGAGAAATAAATCCACGCGACAACGGTGAGAGACGCGCAAACTCCAAATATACAGCAGGCGTCAGGGTCAGGATCGAACCAACGACCTCCTTTGCGACCTCGTCTATAGCACACCAGTCTCATGCAGTAAATGATTGGGCACAAGATACATTTATGAGTTGGATTGGCCCGAGGTGGATCACAACTGTACGGCCACGACTCCACGTGCACCTGACACAATAAAAAAAATATTTCTGAAAAGAAGCGGAAAACGTGTCTGCTTCAGACGTCCATCTCCACTTAAAAAAAAAAAGAATGCAAAACATCAGCCGCACAACAGCCTTCTGGAAGTGCATAATTTCAACGGAATTGTTCAAGACAAGTAAACACAAACGTTGTGAGCAAATCACACTGGCTACGATGGACAAATGACGTCAGGGAACGTGTTGAAAAAATTGTATTACGTTAATTAATATTATTTTTAAGAGACATGATTTTGGTGGGGTATCCATAAGTGGACCACTGTGTGTAATTAATTGAGCACGTCATTCAAGGGGAACGGTCAGAGAGAAAAGAAAGGACGTCGCTTAAGGTGACGAGATCTGAAGTTTAGAAATCGTCGGTGTAGCGTGGCCAGGATACAGCTCATTTAGTAGAGCAGCAGGGCTCCCAAGTGTGAGTCACGAGTTCAAATCCTGTCCAGGGTCAACCAAATCCATCATCCCTCCGGGATCAGCAAAATGAGCACCACCTGGTGAGACTGTACCACCGGCTTCGCGGGGCGAGGAGCAACCGCGGATGTCCTAAGCGCACGCACCGATCCCTGCCACGGGAATGTGGAATTTACCTCGACGTGCTGAGGACCACCCGGGCAGATGAGCACCACCCGATGGTCATTAAGAGCATCGGGAAGATGTTATCGTTGTGTTGTTGTTGTTGTTGGGTAATATGAGCACGTTCACGGCACGCTATGTTAAGAGCACAGCGGAACGCTGTGTGGCTGTCTCAGATAACACAGCATGCCGGCATTTGCACACCTTCATTTTTTTTTACAAATACCAAATTTGTTGAAAAACGACTCCGTGGAGTTCTGCGAGGGTGCCCCATGCATCACACAAACACGGGGGTGGGGTAGGGATGATGTCTTACATGCGCTTTGTGTTAAACGCGTTGGCTGCTTTTGATGTGCACTTAAGGATACCGAGGACATACATTCAAACAGCAGGCGTTAAAAGAGTGTTAAGTGTACATCCAGACACACACGCATGCAAGCAAAGCACATACCTAGTAGCTATACAAAGATTACCCACCGAGCCTACCTAGACTGTTGGGGAAAGTGCTGTTAGCAAACGGTGTAGCCAGCACCATGCCTGGCCATTCATCGGTTTCCAATGGCTATGCTCACACCACAGCAGGTACTCATTAAAGTCGAAGTCGACTTAGGGAAAACTCAGGACTGGCTCTGATATCACTTGCCTCTGATGTTAGCCATGCACTGGGAATCGAACTCAACTTGCCGAATCCAGAGCACTGCGTGATAGCCAATCCGCCATTGCTTCGCACACACCTTTTTTATGCACCCATATATTTACACAAATCGGAATGTTGACAAAAATACAGGACTGCGAGACTCACTTTTTGATGTTAACAGCCCAAAGACAACGATCCCGCATATAGCCTTAACAGACTGTTTGGGCAAGTGCTGTGAGCGAGCACCTATGCAGGCGGGAACGGCGCACAAGGAGGAGGGTATCCAGCACCACGGCCAGCCACTTTTGTCTCCCCAGTGGCGATGTTCCCACATCACATGAGTCGACCTCGGTTGAGGCCCAGGACCGGTTCAGGTAATGGTCACTGGTGTTGGCCGTGAGCAGGAATCGAACTCGGGTCACAGGCTTCGTAGCCCAGACACACACACACACACACGCGCGGTTGCAATGTAGCGGATCACACTGTCATCAAGGGAACTCAGTCCAGGGACTGCAGTGAACACTCCAGAGCCAGGGGTCGGCTCCGGAGCCGCATGCGGCTCTTTGAAGGACCGCTGCTTCGTGAAGTTTATTTATTAATGACCACCGTCTCGTATTCACCACACAGTGCATTGTGGCTCTTGTCAGAGGTGTTGTTTTTTTTTGCGAAAAAAAAAGTCCCCCCTTGTTATTTTGGTTGCCGGCTCCTAGCTCTGTACAATACGAGTGGCACCGACCAAAGAAAGCAAAGCCAAACAAAGAGTATCCAACACAATTGTAATCACAGACAGGCACCTACCAGTCTCCAGGAAGAGCCTTTTGGCCTGGTTGACAGCATCATCTCCTGCCTCCGGAGTGAAAAAGAGCTTGAGAGCTTTGTCCTGCAGCAGCATTCGCGATGAGATAAGTGACGCACGGAAACTCAGCTGGTCATCATCTCACGCGCGTGCTGGCAGAGCAGGCGAAAGTGCTCCTGGGGTTCACTTTTGCAAACAGCTTGGAGCGGTGGCATGGAACAATCATCATTGTCATCATCATCATCATGTTAAACCTGCAGTGATCGATCCACTGCTGGATGAATACCTCCACACATCGTCTGTCGTGGTCACGTGACGGACGGTGACGTGTTGCACCTCCGATGAGCGCGGCTGGCTACGTACGGTGCGGAAAAAGTTCAACGTACATAAACACGTACATACGTGCAATGCTAAAATCCGTCTCGCTCCTGCACGTGGGCTAATCTCACCGCTCCATCTCCATGCGACTTGCTGAACCCGTCCATACTGGACGTCTGTGAAAAAAAGAGAGCTTCATAGCTCATCGGATTCCTCCTCCTGCAGTCTAAATAAAGAATTTGATGTCTTCTTGGGCCCTCCGTCCCCTTGCCTAGCGGCAAATCTGCCACCGCTTTTGTCCATCAGCTAATACTCTACGCTATTCTAAGCTATTCCACGCAAGTAGCCCACTTACTCTTTGTAACAGTCAAAACGTGACGTATCTAACTCAAGTTCTGTCTCCGATCCACGTTTCTCTTTCTGGCTCACAATTTAATTCCGAATGCTTTTGTTTGTGCGTCTATTGCAGATTTTGTCCTACTTTATTTTTCCAGTGTCCACGTGTTCAACCGGTATATCATAGCATGCAGTGTGCACTGATTAAATGTCACAGCATTCAGTGTGCACTGATTAAATATGTTATAGCATGCAGTATGCACTGATTAAAAATATGTCCTCTTTAGGCACTGTGCTTTCATTCTTTTTCATAATCAAATTCATGGCACTGAAAACATGAAATTGGACCAAGGCATGGGAACATTAAGTTTAATTTAGTGTGTAAATGGGTATCATGTCACAAGTTAACGGTTGGAAAAATCTGAAACAAAAACTTTTAAATCAAGGGCTTGGAGACTTCACAGGGAATTATTTGCACAATTTGTGGCTTCATTAACTTCCTCAAATTGTTCACAAAGGCTCATTATCGCAGGCGGCAGCTGTGAGAAAAAAAAAACCATTGATGCCACGGTTAAGGGCTCAAAGGGTTGCATTTGGCACTGCACCACAGTGGAAAAAAAAGCCACAAAACCATCATGGCAAAGATTAGGAAGTAAAACTTCCATATATATTACTTTATAATGGGAGATTATTCCGTGGTGAAATGGCAACCATAGTGGAATTGCATTCCGGAGGTCCCCGGTTTGATCTGCAGGCAAACCTTACATCACCCCCACCTGTGGAGCCAACAATATAAATGGGTAATACCAGCAAGCCGCTTGGCAGGTCGAGTGTGGTGGGGTGAAGTGTGGGTACTCCCACCTCTTCCGAGACATGTGGCCAGCGCAGAATAGGAATCAAAAAAATGTTGCACGGTGTGTTTTTTCACGATTCTTAAAATCCATGTCATCGCTTCATAAATGGACAAATGACACACTTTCCGTGGGTACTCCCGACTTTCTTCTGAGACACCTGACACAGCGTGGAAGAGTAGGCAAAATACCCTCCGGAGACGGCTTCCCTAGAGCTCCGTCGAGTGGACGTGCTTCTGCCAGCAGGCGTTTGAGCAAGATTTCGCAGGCACGGCCGCACCTTCACCTTGCACGCGACACCGACGTTAATCCGTTCAATGTGAATAAAAGCCGCGTTCCAGTTGAGCGCACGTTCGTTGAAAAATCACTTGCGTCGGTGGGAGCCCACTAAACGAAACAGATGTTTATTGGCGACGGATACGCCTAAGGTTGATGTTGGCCTCACAGTCGAACAACAAGGCGCAGCCAAGGCAGGACGGAGTGCTTTTGGAAAGCCGATCCGAAGCGTCGAGAGGCTGCATTCGGATGCCGTTGCCAGCCGAAGGCGTACGGATCGAGGGGGAGTATGGAAAAGAACACGGGCACAAACAACGACGGCGGAAAGATGACGGCTGGGGAGTTATTTGATGACATAACGCGTTGGAATATTCATAACGGTGCATTACTGCCAAGACAGCTCACCGTGGCCGGAGACAAACCAATGGATGGTGGTAGTTAACACACCATTGCTGGGTGGTCGTTACGTTATATGTGCGTAAGACTTCTGCTTAATTATAATAGGTGAACATTTGCAACTTTACTACCGCAGCGGCTAATAACAAAAATCATAGACATGGCTATATATTTATGTTAATATATATGTGACCAGACAATACAATAAATACATGTATAACGTGTAACATAATACACGTTTAATATTGATCTGAAGCTTCCGTGACTGCAGGAATCCATACTCTTTGGTTCTTTCGAAACATCGTGATCTATTAATTTTCAATCTAAGTGACTATGTTTATTATTATGCTATATGCAAGCAGAATGTGTGTATAAACATGTAAAACATTATAAACGCTTTGCACAAAAAATACGTTGATTAACAACTGTTGTGAACCTAGTTGAGTAAAAACTAAAAAAACTGCCACTGGGTTACAAGGTGCGACTTAAGAATTGGCCGTCAGTCTGTGATGGAGGGACAGGGTTGAGAAGGTGGTGGTACAGGGCGATGGGGCAAAAGACAGATTGATGGCTCTTTCATTCCACAAAGGTGGCTGCAACGAAATCGGCTGAGGGCTTACATCCCTGAAGGCCAAGCCCAGCCATCTCCAAACCCAAAACACATTAAACCCACTGACAGATGAGGCCAACTCGCATTGAGTCGGCGTGGCTCTCATCTCTCAACAAACGGTGGGGAAGGGGGCGATGCAGAAATTACGGAGATGCTGCTCGCGAAATAAATAAATATCCGCACACACCTGATGCACGTGCGCGCACACCCCGACGCGCAGGAACGGAACGCAAAACCGCTATGCGTCGTGATTCTCCAAACGGGTTAAACAACTCCCGCCGTGACGGTGCCGGGCCAGACCGCGCGGGCAGCCGCGCGCCGTGCCAACAGGGCCCCCCCGTCAGTCGGCAACGGGCTTAATCTCCCGCCGAATTAAGCAGGGCGATAAGCGGCCCAGTGAAATTAAAGTGTGCGTCAGCAGCAGAGTGTTCACAAGGGCGCTTGGGTGTGCCGTGGAAAATGTAATGTTATTAAACCGCTTGTGTTTTCTTGTAGAAGTAGTAGTTCGGTTCGGTTATCGCTCTTCGAGTTATTAAAGTGCATGCAGGAACACGATGAGATACGCGGTTTGTTTCTTTTTCAAATACCACAGCGAAGAATATTTTACATAGATCACGTTGTTGGGTTTTTTTGTGCTATATGGGTAATGTTTTTTTATGATTTGGGCTATGGCAGCAGTGCACAATGTACTACACTCTTGGGGAGACTGTTACAGAGTTTTTTTTTATGGCCATTTCACAGATGATTACATGATGAGGCAATGCTCTGCATGAATATATCGCGAGTCAAAAAATTACCTCCGTCTTTTGTGGATGGACGATCAAGTGAGTGAAACAAACCAAGTATTATACCCCAATCAGACGCAGGTACATTTATAACCACAACATGCACACCAAGAAGTATTGAACTCAGTGATTTCCTGCTCAAATGAGCATTGAGGCAGTGCTCAATTTGTTAAAGAGCCATAAACCAGTCATGTAAATGCGGACAAGTATGCTCATACGACTACCACTGCTGACATCCCCTCAAAGTAGTATGCATTTTACTGGCCTGAGTCAACACACACGGGAGTTTTCTCCTGGTGCTTCAGTTTCCTCAAACATGTAGACACTCGTTAATTGGCCGATAACACCTTAATATATAAAGGACTTCAGATCTTGGGTGGGAATGTGGCTCACCGCCCGGCTAATTTCCACGCTTGTGTGTGGTTCCCCATGCCTCTGAGTCATTCTCGCTCTTTGAGTGAGTGAATATTGTCCTCGTTACAAGTTGAAAGTACCGTTTTTTTTTTATTAAACCCCAACCGGGATCACAACTCACAACCCCGCTCACTCTGACGCTGAGCCACTTGGCCGGTTTAACCACGACACGCGGCTTGAAAGGACCTGAACTCAAAAAGGTGGAAATATTTTAAAAAAAGGCTGTGTTTAAATAATTCACACTGAAACGAGCCGCATTCTGAAAAGAATAATAACAAACCGGCCGAATTTGATTCGTGAACGAGCGAGCAACAAGAGCACACGGAGCGAATCGCGGAGCGGGAAATGCGAACGAATCCCGTGCACGACTGCTGCCCATCAGCTGCGTCGCTGCTCCCAGCCAACGGAGGGGCTTCGCGTGAGCCCTGAGCAGCTCAAGTCTGCTGAGGCGTGAAGCCAAAATGTTAATCAAACGTCGGGGCCTGTACAGCTCAGCGGGAAACTCTTTGTTGACACTTGCCTCCCCGACCCACAGCCACTGGAACAAAAGAAAAATTAGCTGCAGCGCGGCCGCTAATTAAAGAAAAAAAAGTCTTTTTCTTTCCGCGCAGCCTTGTTTTTTTTTTTTACAACGCAGCTCCCCTTTTTTCCCCGACAGGGTTAGAGAACGGGTTCAAAGGTCAATAGCACGTTAATATGGCTGGCCCGCTGAGATTAACATCAGCCGCCTCTTGAACTCAGGCTGAAATGGCCGGCATGTTCGGTAACCAATTCCTTCGCTGTGGCAACAAATAATTCTTGGAATGCAAAGAAAATGGACCTGCGGTGAAAAAGGGGACACGAGACAACTGACATATTTGGTTAAAAAAAAAGGATAATTTTACCGCAGTGAAATGCTACAGAAACCATTTGGCTTCTCTTTTTATATTTACCCAACTTCAAATTCTTGTTAAAGTGCCGATTAAAGGGCTAAAAATAAGATAATGGATTCTCGGGAGCGTGTTACTGGTGAAAAATTGGCGACAGGCCCGTGGAATATTTCATTATTTCGTCTCTAAATGGATACATGAAACGGTGCTTGGTATGAGTTCCGCTTAGCGCTGCAGGGAGACAGTCATGATGTCTCGACAGCCAATCATCTTTAAAAACATTTTTTTTTAAATCTAACGACAGACCAAAATCACGTGACAACAACACTCGTATCTGCCAGCACTATTTCATAAATACGACTATGCTTTACCATGAAACAGGAAAATATAGAATGTTTGCATTTTATACGTTAATTTACCTGCCCTCTGTCAACTACTGATGCATGTACGACGAACTTCTTTCGTACCGTGCATAGCCAACCGTACTAATCGGACGTGATCGGCTCAGGTCTCCCCGCATCACATCGGTCAGAGGGGTTGTTTCACCATACTTCACCGTGCTGGTCAGTGCAGGTTGGGGAAGGGCCAAACCAACGCCACCACCCAAAACAGTTCAGATATCACTCACCAAACTTTCATTGCATTCGTGAAAAAAAATGAGATTACAAAAGTATATTCACAAGTAGACATGTAATGATGCATTTATTCACGGTTATCTGTTCCTAGGCTAAACGATGCATTAATAATAATGATGCAATTTGTAACACGGACAGTATTTCAAAGAGATAAATGACCGTGACTGAGGCGTGGAGCCAAGCTCGGTGTCGCTTGAGAGCCGGGGCGAAACAGGTCGGGTGGGGGGGGGCCCTTTAAGTGTCTCTCAAAAGCCGGCGTAGATTGAATGCCGTGAACGTGCAGCGGCGTGAACGTGCAGCGGCGGGCACGCGGGGCGGCGTTCCAGATGGATAAACTTCAAATCAGAGTGAGGCGGGCATTTAACCCGCACGCACGTGCCCGGTGGGGTTCCGGCAAACTCTCAACACTCGTGGCACGGCCGCTGCCTTGACTTAACGTGGCTCACCAAGAAGCCGTGGAGCACACCCCCTGAACGCTTTCGGGATAATCGAGCAGGACGTTCCCGTGGCAGGGGGGAGCTGGTGCGAGGAGGGGGCCCGGCCGTCGTGTCGAGTGCTCGGGGTGTGTGTGTTGTGTACGTGCGGCTCTGCCTAGTAGAATTGTGCCAAGCGAGGGCAAAATGCATGGGGCGCTTATACGGAGGTGGTGGTGGTGGGGGTTCGTTTAGCCATCCCCGGGAGATCGCCGCGAATGTTTCGCCGACCCAAAATGCTGAAGCGCAGTTCGCGAACGAGCGTGCTGCCAAATACCGAGAAGACAATGCGGCGCAAAATAAACACGAGTGGAAAATTATAGCGGTTCTTAGGCGGAGCGCACGTAAGTGCCGTATTTGTGTTTAGTCTGGCCGGTGTGTCGCATTAAACAAAAATACGAACACCTGCTCTCCCCTGCTCCCCTTGCTAGCTCATCAAGCACTGAAAGTTGCCTTACCAACTGCTCAATTTTGGCCTCGAGTACTTTTCATCTAAACGTATTAAAAGTACAAAATGCCTCCTCGTTTATTTTCGCGAAGCCTCGTTCTTTTGGGAAATATTTACGGAAACAAACACCGCGATTCCTAAACCCAAAACCATCCGCGCAACTGCAATCGTGCACATTTGAAAATAAAGTGCGTGACTTTTCCCTGCGCACTGCCGCGTAAATGGACTTTAAACATCCACTGCTCAGTAACAAAACGATGTGAAAACGCACGCAGATTCAAGATATGCGAAACGATTTCATCCTGCATATAGCACACGGAAAATACTTCTGCGTGATTACCGCACGCATAACACGCACAGCTATTCCCAGAACATTGTTAAATTTTAATTTTGATGGCAGGCATAGTTTTGTTCACTTGCATATCCAGGCCAGACAGACTACCTACAGCTAATATACAGTTGGCAGCAATAAAAGTCTTTGTCAAACAGGGCCTGTGATGAACTAAGTTAGGCTTACCACATTATGCCTTTCACGAACCCGCCAGTTTAACTTTGCGACCCATACCGTGTGACCACAGGCAGCTTGAGCGAGGTGCCACAAGCAAACTAAAAATGGGCCACTCTTTGAGTACGCTAAATCTATAAACAAAACAACCCAGATTGCTGCATTTGGCCTTTCGAACTCAAGAGCATCTAACAACAACGCATGACCAACTGCTGATGTTATTCAGAATTGGCAAGATGTATTAGGGATGCAAACACGTGCAAAATATTTCTTTATGGGGGTAATGTGTAGGGCTCTATACAATGGGAGATAATAATAAAGAACTTGACGGAGGCAATAGTCGGTTGAGAAACTTGCCCAGAGTTTCGAAGTGATATCAAAGCAACTACAGGACCAGCGTGCAAGCCATTACTGGCTGTCTGTAGCTAGAAATGCATTTCCCGTGTGTGACAACCATCGTTGTGCCGCTCAATGTCCAGCACTGCTATAAAAGACGAATTTAAGTGGGGCGTTTGCACATGAGACGAATTCAGATTTACTCCGATGAGGGCAAACAATCAAGGTGATTTCACGACACTGAATTAAACTTCAAAGCAGACACGTTTAAAGGCGGATTTACGGCAGGGGCGAATGCAAAAAATACGAGCAATTACATCAATTTACCAGATGTAACGCAACAGGCATATGTCGCCTATAAAAAGGGAGCGAATTGAATTAACAAGACAGAAAGTGGTGAAAACAAAAAAAACTCGGATATATTCAACAAGCACATTAATCTAAAATAATGGCAGGAACACTTAAACAAAAACACATTAAAATTTCACGTCAGACTCGCTGGGGACTGAGGCACGGGCGGATGTGTGAAAAAATCGGATATGGTGTCGAACGTCTATAGAAAACGACATTTACACAGTGCACACGCACACTGCACCGGGTGTGGGTGGTTAATTGGTCACGGTTGATATGCGACGATGGGTGGATAACGTGACATGCAATGTCATCCGCGTGCAGACATGCAACGGTATCTCTACGGCAAGAATTCATACCTGGTGAGGAATTTTGATCGGCCTCTCATCCGGAAAGTCTCTCCACATGAGATCGTGAGGAGGCTTGGGACCAATTCACATCTACTTTGGACCCAAGTAGTTCCACAGATGCTCCCGCTCGGTTCATCAAGCATGAACACCCTTTTTGGCCGTGCAGATATGTTCAATATATTTAGCCATGTCGGACTTGATCTGATCCGTCGAAGCCCTCCCCACTTAAGAACTAAACACAATCTATATTGTTGCTATATAAGACAATTGTGTTGATGAATGGTAAACGTTGGTTGTGGAAATAAGAATTCATGCTCTAGATGGTTTAAACAGCCATTGGAAACGATGATAGGTTTTGTGTTTTGTTCCAAAGTGGGGAGCAGTATCTCCATATAGCTTTTATTTAGATTTGGCCATTGGGCTAATTATTCAATACAATAAAGATAAAGATCCCCCATATAGCCTTAACAGACTGTAGGGGCAAGTGTTGTCAGCGAGCACCTATGAAGGCCGGAACGGTACACGAGGGGGTGGGTGGCCAGCACCACGCCCGACCGCCATTGTCTCCCCAGTGGCGATGTCTACACACCGCACCAGGTACTCATTTGAGGCTGAGTCGACCTAGGGGAGGCCAGGGACTGGTTCAGATAATCGTCACTGGTGTTGGCCGTGAGCGGGAATCGAACCCGGATCGCCGGGTTCATGGCACAGCGCGCGGACCGCTACACTGCCGCTCCCCCAATACTATTTAATACTATAACCACGTGGCCAGCAGCGTTTAGTCCGATCTTGGAAGTCTGTGTTCTGGGCCTTCCACTGCCAGTACCACTTGTCGATTCTGTACGATAACTTAATGGGCAATTTCATCAGACATTAATCCAGTACAAGCATCATCCAAATATAAATATTTTTTTGTGGAATTTATTTTGTCCAAGCCAACTGCCTATACATGACCTTTATTATTTCTATATTAATCGTTTATGTTAATGCAGCATTTTCAATTTTATTCTGTAGCGTGTTTATATTTTGCTTTAATTTATATTTGCTATGTTGCTGCTGCTTTTGCCAATTTGGTGGCCCGGGCCCATCTTGCGAATGCAGCTACCGTGTAGTTCTGGGCTGATTCCTCACCCGTCTCATGATCATTGCAACTCCACGAGGTGAGATCTTGCATGGAGCCCCAGGCCGAGGGAGATTGACAGTTCTTTTGTGTTTCTTCCATTTGCGGATAATCGCACCAACTGTTGTCACCTTCTCACCAAGCTGCTTGGCAATGGTCTTGTAGCCCATTCCAGCCTTGTGTAGGTCTACAATCTTGTCCCTGACATCCTTGGAGAGCTCTTTGGTCTTGGCCATGGTGCAGAGTTTGGAATCTGATTGATTGATTGCTTCTGTGGACAGGTGTCTTTTATACAGGTAACAAGCTGAGATTAGGAGCACTCTCTTTAAGAGTGTGCTCCTAATCTCAGCTCATTACCTGTATAAAAGATACCTGGGAGCCAGAAATCTTTCTGATTGAGAGGGGGTCAAATACTTATTTCCCTCGTTAAAATGTAAATAAATTTATAACATGTTTGACATGCGCTTTTCTGGATATTTTTGTTGTTATTCTCTCTCTCACTGTTCAAATAAACCTACCATTAAAATTATAGACTGATCATTTCTTTATCAGTGGACAAACGTACAAAATCAGCAGGGGATCAAATACTTTTTTCCCTCACTGTACATAAAAAGTCGCCAATGTGAAATTGCTGAATAATAAACACTCACCAGCTCGCCTTTAAGCAGATGTTTACCAATCTCATCCGTCTTGATGCTTTGGCTTGCTCCAAATCGTTGGGGCCCGTAATAGTTGATAAATCCATGCTCCTAAATGCACAACCGAATGAGTAAAAATACACTTAATTTTCATTCCGTGGTTTTCAGTTTCAATACATCATCCAGCCTCCAGGTTGCTACCATGTTGAATGCTTAAACACGAGTAAAAAATGGGCAGTTCACAAAGTCGATTGCTGGACAATCTATCTGATATTTTCGTCTATTCCCCTTGTGCGAGTGGGCTTTCTCTGGGCAAACCAGTTTGTTCCCACTACCAACAATAATTATCAACGATGAGCATGTCACCATTCAGGTTTTGCGATTCAACTCTACAATCAATAATGGTGCATGTCTAATCTCATGGCTGCATAGCTTTAGAGTTTATGCGAACCAATTAAGCGCAACACATACAAATCAAGAGCAAATTGTACTTATACCCACAATTTAACACGTGCATCGTAAACTTCGGAAAACATTTTCATCTAATGAACCATTACACCATTATATATCTACTCAATAAAAACAAATTATCCATGTGAAAATCTTGAGACTCAGCAAGGCTTCCATGACACTTTCTTGTTGCCAACGGATCTCTGTATCAGTAAATAAAAGTCTGCCTGTTATATCTTTGCTAATGACCGAATCACCGACTGGACATCAAGTAAAAAAAGAACTTCACAGCTCATTGGATTCCTCCAGTCGAAATAAACATTCTGATTTTGGAAGCTAGGCAAGATTCATCGGAATCAAAATATCTATTGATACTGGAAGAATCCGATGAGCTGCAAAGCTATTTTTCACACACGTTACATAGGGACGGGTAAAAACGTTAAAGCCCAGAGAGCGCCTGTATTGGTGACAACCACGCTCAAAGCACCGCTGCGATAGGCGTTGCGGGAATCGAGGGCCGTGCGGTAATATCCGTTGCACTTCTACACTTCTCCCCACCTTCGCCAAACCCGTACGCACCAGCGTGGGTGGCATTCGGAAAAATATCCTTCACAGCCCCGCAAGGAGCGGCTGGGTAGGCCCTCAACCCGGCAGTGCATTGACAAAACGGGCTGCAGATGCGCGAGCGTCATTTTATCAGCGTGCATTGGCTTCCGGTTGCTGAACGGAGACATGATAAGGTCGCACTTATTACACAAAAAGTGCTTGCCACAAATGAACGACATCACCTTGCTGATCTCATCAAGGAGCGATAAACCAAGGAGAATAAACCATCCAACGCAGCGGTTTTTGATTAGCCATCAAAAAAGACGGTCACCGCATCGCGCGCTTTCAGATGCAACTTTTGCGGCCGTCTGGAACGCTCTTCCATCTGATTTTAGAAAGCCACTGGAGCTATGCACTTTTAAATCTAGATTGAAAACTAATTTCTTTAAAACTGCGTTTATATTTTGTTGTCCGTCACCGGCACCTCCGATTTGCACGGTTGGCTACGTACGGTGTGAAAGAAGCTAACACACACATCACAGCAAAGCTGTACTCGCGACGTGCGGCAGCGGCGACGTGCCGGACACTCACCACGACGCCGCGCACGCTTCGCTCGACGCAGTCCCGCACGGCGGCGTCGTCCGGCTGTGGGGTTGCGGTGGGCGCCCCGACACCTCTGAGCGTCACGCGGAAATGGTTCCCCCACAGCTCGCCGAGTCGCAGCGGGCGGGCGGCCCGCTTCGCCGCCGCCACACGCAGGCCTCTCGCCTGCAGTCTCGCGGCCGCCTCCTGCAACCTGCCGAGGAAAGGGGGTCACAACTTGCCATCGGCAGAGCCGTTACTCTCGACGAAACGTTAAATGTCTCGTCTGGTACGCAGGAGGTCGCGGGTTCGACCCTGACGCCTGTGTGTTTGGAGTTTGCGTGTTCTCCTCGTGGTGCTCGCGTGGATTATCCTCCGGGTCCTCCGGTTTTTCCCTCCACACTGAGAATCAACGCGCGTTCAGAGTATTTGGCTGCGATACATTTCCGCGTAAGCAGACACTTCTTTGAGCAACCATTTGTGGCCAGGTCACCTCTGAAAAAGAGACATTTTGCTCAGTGAGCCTTACCTGGTAAAATAAAAATAGTTTAGTATTTACGTGACAAACCTCATTAATTGGCTGTGTCGGGTGGTGGCGGGTTTAACGACACATTTATATTTATCGTTTTAGTTTAGACTCAGTAGCTAAAGGTGCGACCCTGCAACAAGTTGGCCGTGCCACGCGAGGGAGCCTTGGAGAGCCCCTCCAGATGGTATTTGCCCTCCTCTTCTCGTACCCACACTTTAGCCCACCGCGCGAGACCTGCTGAACACACTGTGTGCGGGCGGAACCCACCGATTCCGCTGGCTTTAACGGAGATGAGAAGGCAGGGGTGATTTTTAGAAACGTGCACCGTCGTTTTAAAACTGCCGCGCCGGCGGATGGAGTGGAACGGGCGACCCCTGGGGCGCGAGTCCAGGAGCGCCGCGGGAGGTCGCGTCGCCAGCGCGAGTAAAACCGAAACTACATATGACAAGTGGAACAAAAAAAACCGGGCCTGCGATCGCAAGGGAAATTGCAAAATCCCTGAAGTAAACAAAAGTCGTATTATAGCAATGTCTATTTTTTTTATGGAATCTGACAAAAAAAACTTTTTGGTCAAATCAGATGTTCTTTCCACGGTAGGATATATGACACGCGCATGTATGTTGAACTTCTTTCACACCGTACATAGCCAACCGTGTTCATTGGAGGTGCGGGGGGGGGGGGGAAGACAACACACTGAACACAAAAAATCAGTTCTAAAGAAATTAGTTTTTAACGTGATACAATTTGAAACGTATAACGCGGCAGTAACATTTGCCGTCAAGAAAGATCCGGTTCCACATTCAGTGACTGACGGTGAAACCACGTGTTGCTTGCAAGAGGTAATGGAAGAGGTGCTAATCCCATGTGACCCAGGAGATTATCGTTCGTGAACAATAAAAACTAAAACATCATATTGTACAGCCTTTTGTCTGTAGGCCTCCCCCATGCCGTGTCGTTCACGGGGGCTGTTTGACCATACTTCACCGTGCAGGTGAGCGCAGGTTGATGCATCCGTGGACACTCCGGGTACCGGGTTCACAGAACAGCGTACAAACCATTACGTCCAGGACTCTACCCCCCTTCTGAATACTATAATAGAAATGCAGGAGCCATTTATGGAAAAAGCTAAACAAGTAATCAGTGATTAACGAAAATTAATTGCACAATCACAATCTAAATATATTCAACTTCAGGTACATGACCGCGTGTTTGCATTAACCACACGTGCTTGTGGTAAATCGTGAAAACAAACATGATTTGTACGCATTGTCTTTAAAATTGATTGGCCTACACCAGAGATAGCAGCCTTTATGGCCTTGTGTCACCACATATAACTGCTCCACGCGAGCTATTAATGCGCATCAAGTAAAAGGCTGTCGTATTGCTCCATCTAGTGTCGACTGCCGTACACAATTTCTGAGCTGGTGTGTGAAACGGTCACTTGGGATTTGTTGCACATTTTAACCGGGCGTCAAAAGATTTTGCCCCCAGACCATGAACGAATGGTCGCACAGAAATGAAACTTGTCACGTGTGTGGCGGAGGTTGTGTGAAACATTTCCATAGAACTTAAAGTACGGTGTCGAGATGTTAACTACCTCGCCTGGTAGGCAGAGGGTCGTGGGTTCAATCCTGACCCTGATGCCCATGGACACGTGGATTATTTTCCAGGTCCTCCGGTTTTTCCCTCCACATTTATAAACATGCACTCAGAGTACTTGGCTGCTATAAATTTACACGTGATAAGCCACTTCGTTGTGGCCAGGCTGCTTCTGAAAAGGAGCTGTATATCTCAGTGGGCCTTACCTGGTTAAATAAAAAATATTTTCATTTGATCGTTTTTTTTAAGTATGTCTCTCTGTCCCTTGGACTGGTGGTTACAGTGATTATTCACCAACACGACACTCTGAACCCACTGAACCCGAGTTTGTTACCTGACAAAGGCTGACATCCGTGACAAGCGACATCTGAGCCGGTCCCGAGTCCTCATGGTTCACCATCTTGCACCGACCAGCGTGGTGAAGTACGGTTGTACACCACTCACCAAGATGGCAGGCAAGGCCATCATTCAGCAATGGATCGACAAATTATATCCGCTCCCCACGTCACTTTGTGCCCACAATCCCCTGCCATTTGATACTGGACAGCACTGAAGTTCCGAGGCCAAATGAGATCAAGAACTAACGAAGTGGCGATTAACCCTTTCCTATTCCGATGATGTACGCGCACGAAGAAAAAAGAAAATCACTTTATCGGTACAACGTCAGGTCGGACGACGTACGGAGGCTCCGACAAGGCCATGCGGAAGGGGGGCGTGTGGCACAGTTTTGCTGCCAGCTATCGTAGAGTGCGGTCGTGTCGCTACAGTTCACTGCGGTGAGTACAACGTCTTTATAACAACGGCACTACGCCTCTCTAAATACAATTAGCGCTAACCGCTTGCGCGCTCCGAGATTCAGCGGTGAACGAGAGCCACCCACCAACTTGCAGACGTCCCAGAATGGGAAAGGGTTAACATGGTAAAACCATGTTTCAGAGACAAAATCCCACAACTTGCACGCCCATGCCATGAGGAGGAAACTCACCCAACTTCCCCGGGAAACGACGTGCGACAATGGCAGGCAAACTACGTTTACGAAAGGGCTTAATCCTTCGCTGGGTTTCTCCGACGAGGGACCAAATCCTTCAAGGTCAAGGGGGGCAATGTTTTTGCCTCCCCCTGGAATGAACAGCCACATAACAATTCACCCCACAGCGATTCAATGTCACGATCCAGGGTCATGATTGAATTTAAAAGGAAAACATTTTCGCCTCGTTTACGTTTGTTTCGTGTTTGTTCCGTTCCGTCTTGACTGCTGTATTTGCTCCAACGGCATCGACGGCTGCACTACTTAGGTACTAGAGGGGTTTATTTTCGACCGAGCAAAACTGTTAATACGTTTTCACGCTCAGAAAACTTTTGTCTTTCAAACAGTGCTGTGCACACTGTCAACGTACAGAGAGTCCTTGCGTGATCCACGGTTTAGTGTTAGCTGCTGTGCTGCCCACCAAAGGAACCTGAAGGCACAATCGGTAAGAACAAGGTTCCTCACCCCTGGCCTATAACTCACATCGGCGTACCTGCTGGGGGTTACTTTTTGAACCACCATCCTCTGGAAGGTGACGGCCTTCTTGTCTTTGGTGCCAGCGTAACTGAAGTCACTCGGGAGGACTCCCAGCTCTGAAGCCAGCATGCTGATCGCTCCCAGTGTCTCCATGTTGGTCTTTTGCAAAGTGAACACTGCAGGGCACATTAACAGTCACTACAGCCATGTATGTACAAGCATTACAGGACAAACAGGCATGCCGTTAGCTATGCTACCCCACCTTAACCAACCGGCACTGACCATTATATGGCTAAATAACCCTCACGATGAAAAGACTTTCAGTCTTAAATGACTCGTTACCTGGTTGATATAGGACTTGATTGACGAAAGGGGAATAACTTGGTGAACAACATATCTCCGATATAGCACGACGAAAATTACCGTTGACTTTCAAACAGACCAAAAAGTTTACCGGTGTAGATGCCGCCATCAATCAAATCCAAGTCCTCGCTCCCCAAGGCCTCGACATCTGTGCCCCTGCGTTTCTTGCTTGGTGCCCTCCTCCCTTTGAACCGAGCCACGATCCTGGTGCAATGCCCTCCACCGCCACGAGCCTCCGAGAAGCTCTTGGTCTCCAGGACCTTGCCGAAGTGGCGCGTCACGGCGTGGTGCAGAGCCGCCCTGCGTGCCCGCTGCGAGTCGGCGAGGAACGTGAACGTGGCGTCCCTTCGCTTGGCGTCGACGAACCGGAAGAACCCATCGGCCTCCTCCTCCGAAACGAGACCCCGGAATTCCGCGTACACGGGGTCAGCCTTCGCCTGCGGCCGAAAAGTGTCTGCAGTCAGTGGTGGCAACAGGTGACTCGGTGAACGTGCTACGAATTAATGCAATCATTGATTCAGACCACAAGCATAATAAAAAACAAATATCATCATTAATCGAATCTTGCACATGTTCACTACTGCCATATGTAGAACATTTTTTTAAAATGCCGGTCATTTTCAAGGCATCAAAATGATGAAGGCATCCACATGCCGTGTCAGTCAAGGGAGATTTCTGGCCATACTTCACCATGCTGGTCAGTGTGGGTTGGATGGGGAGAGGACAAGACCGGTTCTGATATCACTTGTCACCGATGTTAGCTGAAGACGGGAATTGAGCTCAGGCCACTTGGCTCATAGCATAGCACGCTCACGACTGCAACCCACTGGCAGACCCTACACGGTGTGAGAAACGTCCATACCCCAGGTTCACAATTGTGACAGCCAGGCAGAGCAAGTACTCTGGGAGCTAAAAGTACATTACTTTAAGTAATGTTAATTATCAGGATGTCACAGAGCTTTCACTATTATTTCAAATATAGCACTGTTATGCACTGTGACCCATTTAAGTCAACGCATATCATTAAAAAAACATTTTTACTACATGAGACCATTAGCTTGCTGTGAGACGAGTCTTAGATTTGAACCGGTGAACTTTCACGACTCAAGCACAATGAATAACCAATTTAATTCTGCAGGCACCAAAAAGAAACTCACAAAAATACAGAAATATCTGACGTCAACTAAAATACTGGGCACCAATTAACGAGGCCGATTGGACCCGTGCTTCGGGTGCACTCACCTTAATCTCAGTGCCACTGGTGATCGTCTTGAGGAAGGGAAACCTCTGACGGACGGTGCGATGGACCTCGGCTCTCGTCTCTTTGTCCGGGAAGAGTCCAAGGGAGAGGCCGCCGGCGTCGCTCCTTTCACCCGCGGGCAAGAGCATCATCATCGCGCGTTCCGCCGCTGCGAATTCTCCCAGCGCCTCGGCCGCGTCTTCAGCCAGCACGGAGTTTCGGACGCCCGTCACCTCGCACGTGGCTTCAAGAGCCGCGTGCGCGTCGGCGTAGTCAAACTTCGCGTCCTGGAGGAGCTGCTCGGTGGATTCCGCCACTTCGAGCTCCATCTCCGCTTCGACCTCCTCCTCCGCAACGCCTTCACCCAGGGGACGCTCCGCAGAAGCCGGGCCCGCCACGGCAGGAAAGTCGCACCGCGCGACAAATTCCGCAGGCACGTTAATGCACCGCTCGCTCTCAAGCTTTGGCCGTTTGGCTTCGACTGGTGCACAGGGGTCAGGAGCGCGAGGCACAAGTCGGCTTGAAGGACCATCGCCCGGTACCAAATGATCGGCGTCCGCTCTGTTGCTGTGCTCATCGATCTCTACGACAATGAAGTCCTCTGGAGACTGCTTGATGGCCCCGCAGAATCCGGGGTGTCTGCCGATGTAATAGTATTGCTGTGCATCGTCCACACCGCCCTCTTGGTCTTCCTCCATGGCGCCGGCAACCGCTGTGTTCTTCCCACCATAAACAATGAGTCCATTAGGGGACGCGTCAACAACCTTTAGTCATAAGCACAGGAGACCAATGTGAGATGGGGGAAGAAACATACAGCTCTCACACACACAGAGGTATTCAGGATACGTTTTAATAGGGAAAACAAAGTATGCCAATACATTAGTCTGGTCACTTATGCAGAAGTGTTTAGGCTAAAATATCTAAAAGTTGTAAGCCCATCTATGTTATTCACACCTTTTTTGTTACTTGATGTAATGGTGTTCTTATGGGTCCAGAAAGGTCACCTATTACACATTTTTCCTTTCAACGCCAGTGCCACTGACGAAAATGCGTGGAGTGTTTTTGCAATGTAGTGATGATTAAAATACTCCATGAGTATTAGTCCAAGTGTTAACTACTTAATTCAACACTGCCTTTCAAATCAGTCAGTTCCATTGCTCGTTGAACCTCTCATTAATTTGAACGCATACATTTAACTTGAACCCAAAGTCCTAACTTGCACACCAGATACACATTTAACTCTAGCACAGTCCCAACTTAAGCCAGCCATCCCAAATGGGAGTCCATTGATTGAAACCTAAGAATCAGGAAATACCACGTGTTGAAACTCAAGAATCTGAAAGCGCATACAGTACGTGTCTTAGCAACTTATTTAAGATCGACTTAATTTCACCACTAAACGGGCAACTTATAATGTCACCGTCGATCCCACTTTATATAGGGTACAATACAATGTAGGTGATTACACTGACTGCGACGGAGACCCATGCAGTGCTCTACTGTAAACCTATGAATACCATACGAGATATCTCGCAAGTGGGAGTTTCAAGATATACTTTGCACTATTCTGCGCCGGTAATGACACGGCCAGCCTGCTTGGAGGTGGGGAAAAAAACAACAATAACATTGAGAAAGTCTTACATTGTAAATACGTTTAAAATATCGACAGACTTTTCACGCGCGCGGACAGCACAAACACACAGAGAGCGGAGTCCGCGTGCCTCGTGAACCCGGATCAGAAAAAAAACATGTAACAGCCGATCCGATTGGTCCCGCGGAAACAAGGGGACGTTCGTACCGCCCAATCACAAGAGCGGAGACATCGCCGCTTCTCACGCGAGAGGGCGCTGTTCATTCAGCACCCACACTCACCACCCGATTGTGTTCGACCAAGTGATTGAGTTTCAATGAAGCTCTGTCGTCCCGACAGTTCTGTACCTTTCACCTGAAGACGGCCGCTTGCGTTGTGGCCGAAACGTCGTGAGAATTTTATTGTGTTATTTTATTATTTTATTCTCATTCTACGTGACTTTACCGAAAGAACCAAAGAAGATAAATCCTTGCAGTCACAAAAGCTTTAAATGGTTTTGATACTCAATAAATTGACTTCTTTAACAAAAAAACGATTTTGTTTTATTATACCAGGTAAGGCCCACTTGAGCTATGTAGCTGTTTTTTTTTTATTTCAAAAGCGACCTGGCCACAAATTATAGCCCAATGAAGTGGCCTATCGTGTGGAAATTCCAAGCAGCTAAATACTCTAAACGCACGTTTCTTAATGTAGAGGGGAAAACCGGAGGACCCAGATAAAAATGCACACTACCACGGAGAGAGAGAGAGACATGCAAACTCCAAATATAAAGCAGGCGCCAGGGTCAGGATCAAACTAACGACATTCTGTACACCACATAGTTAATATGAGGCCGTCCTTAAATGACGTTACACGATTTTGGACGATTTTGACCCTCCCCCTCGTCACACGGCGTCACAAAAAGTCAGACCCCCCCCCCCCCTCAAATATGACGTCACAAAGCTCTGCCCCCCCCCCCAAAACCATATTTCCATTTTGAAAATAAAACATGCTTCGAATCGCTTTAAACTATTGTCATTGTAGTGCGTATTTAATGTGGCGCTGCACTCTGATGTTGTAGGAGTGTTGTTATAACAATTAGTGTTGTTATAACAATTATATTTTATTTAAAGTTGCGCATTTTAATGTGATATCACATTTCTCAACCCCCCCCCCCCTCGTCACACATCGTCACAAATGTCTGACCCCCCACCCCCCCCAGTTGCGTGACGTCATTTATGGACGGCCCCTATCTCGCTGCCACGGCACCCTAGTCACCCAGGAAAGCCACACTGAGTCCGAAGACTTTCATATTCAGGAGGGTCCTGCATTGAGATGTTTGACCAACAACAATTATATTTTGACTGTTTAAGTAACCAGATAATATTAGGAGAGAGAATTGAAAGTGTGTGAAAGGTAAAGGCAAAGTCCTGCAATTACACGCTCAGGCTACTGCTTTAGAGAGTCCTCGAAAGGGTATTTGGCCTACTCTTCCACAGCATTCAGCCGTCTTGGACAAGGTAGAAGCACCCACAGGAAATGTGTTATTTGTCAAATGAATATAAGATATTACATGTTTTTTAGAAATATGACCAGCAGAGTGAATTTTTAGATTTTTTTCTCTCAAATAAATACTGTTTAAGTGCACAATACATACAAAAAAATGGAAACATGCACACCCAGAGATGTTGAAGAAGCGGATGTATTTTTAAAAAAATTTAGTAGGGCAAGAGGGGATGAATGCTAACAGCCAGAATTATAAGAATAATGTCAACTTGTAACACAGAGTATTCGCTCACTCTCGTACAGAGCGAGAACTGCGAGACACAAGGAACCACAAACAAACGAGCAAGACAGTGAGCCAGTGCAGAATTCCCCCCAAGCTCTGCAATCCTCCATATATGAAGATGTTATCTGTCAATTAACGAGTGTTTACATGCGATTATGACATTGAGACGACACATTATGACGATCGTGCAAATGAAGACAGATACAGTTATATAATTACCATACAAGACTCTTGAGCCTGGAAATTAATTATTCGGAAATACAATAACTAGATTTTAATTAAACAGTAGAACTAATACGGATTATTTGAATCATTATTCATTCATGTAAGTTGGGTAACATTGTCTTCCAAAACGCAATTGTTTATCTTCAATACTGGACTTTTATAACATTATGCTACTGCCATTATATACTGTTATTCACGTGGTTTGCACAGTATGTTCTTGATGATAACTGTAATTGAAAGAATGTATTATTTAAAAGTGAAAATTATTCACACACATCATAAATATATGTATTCCACGAAACATTAAGTTCTTATATAAGTATCATATCCTCAAGTAACATATTTTTTTGGAAGAAAATGCATTTACATTTTAAATAATCATATCAACATTTCTTAAAATTTTTAATCAAATCTGGTAAATTGCACTCATCCAAACAAAACGTGAATTGGAAACCAAGCATATGATGGATACAAATGATAAATCTTTTAAAAACATACTCCACTGAACACCCTTGCTTCTTTTCTAATAAATATATAATAGAGGAAATTAGATTATTTCTATTCATATAATCTGAGCAATAAAAGGGGAAATGTGTGCAGAATTGAAGAAGAAAACCAAAGGATGGGGCTGGGATGAGGCAAATGTGAGTCCAGAACCTTTCCCTTGGGCAGATAACTGAAGATGAAGGAATTAAGTAATTTCCCATACTTAATATTGGGAACGCAATTAATTTTAGTGAGAAGGAAATCACGTTAGACTTTAAATAAAAAAATCTGCATCTAGTGTTGTGTAATCTACGTGGATTTTTCAACCAAGAATCTTGCAAAAGATACATTTTCTCAATCGGTTGTCACCTGGTTTAGAGATCAGCGTTTTTCAATTATATTAAAGACAATTTGTTATAGTTGGGTTATTAACATTGTGCATTTTGTTATTTTATTGGGCATGACAGTCATAAAAGAAAGTGCATAGCATATCACCAACCTTGAATGTATTGCCATGTTGGAAAATTACTTCATTTAACAAATGCACTATTCTATACTTATTTTATATCGGGAAATGGGTGTTCCTTTAAACTGAAATATTTTCCGAGATGTTTAACACGTCATTGACCAAACGTTTATTTTTAGGCAAGCACACATCCATCTCGTTCCCTTTTCTCTGATACTGGACTTTTATAACAAGTCCTTTCACACTGCTGTGTCAGCACTTAATTTAAAACCTTTTTTTGTACAACTAAACTCTACCTATTGATCTCTTCGGCCATTTACACCAAGAACACCATGTGCATTCAAGGTTGGTTCAACAAATGTCTTGGTGGACAGCTAAACCTTGAAAGTGAGGTATATTGGGTGTAAATCACACGATCTACATGTTTCTCATTATCCTTTCATCGTACACTCGTATGATTTGGTTTAATTGTGTTAAACATGATGCAGCACAGTAGAGCTGTCCAAAACGAGTCGTGTAGGATTGGAATTCGGGGTTTCCAGTTCTCCTTCGTCCACGGGGTATCACGATTAGCTGAGTCACATGCCCATTGACGCACAGAACAGCCATAGCAAATAATTAAAAGACCCTTGCCAATATTCAACTTTGCTTGACTTTCCAGAGCCTTGAACAGCGCCATAGTTTGTGTTAAACAGAGTTGAGGTTTTTACCAGAAGTTCCTTTACCAACAATATATCTAGATTTATTGACTTGATTCTAAAACAGCATTCTGCATTAAACTCAAACTGTGTTGTGTATTCGCATCTCTTGTGACGTTGTGTATATGTTACTGTCTTCCATCCTAGCTGGTAAACTTGGGTATCAGGGTTACTGGGACGTAAAACTGTTAAATATGGGGGAAATTACTTTGCTGTAACCAAATATACGTTTACCTTTGCCTTGAGTATTTCCTCTGAATTTAATATCAATTGACGACTAATATCTGATGATTCTCTACTTCTCTGTTGTATGTATGTTGAACTTTTTTTCAAACCGTAAGTAACCAACAGCGCTAAGGGGAGGTACAGGTGAAGGACATGTTGTGATCAATGTGTGTGAGCTAGCGTTGCTTGTGCTTATTTGCCTCGATCATTGCCCCCAGAACTGTGTTATTTTGGACAGGATTACTGTGAGTTACATATTCAGACTCGTTGTACAGCACATGTATGTATGTATGTTGAACTTCTTTCGCACCGTATGTAGCGAACCATACTAGCTGAGGGAGTGCTGAGGGCGAGTACACTTTCTAGAAAGACAAAGTGGTTGGGTGACCGTGAATGGCTGTGATATCAACACCTTTGTGCCCCTTTGGAGGTAAATAGTCCATGAGCCAGGACCTGTCGGTACCATCTTAGGTGGCTGGCATAACTTTAGTAGTTCAAATTTACTTACGTGGCCATTCATAGTCAATTACGTGAGAACCATTTGAAATGAGAGGGTTATCAAGGAATTCATTCTCATTAGCTATATAAATAAATCAGATCGACGAAATATTTACAGTACTATCATTAGGTGGTTACCGATTTCTGCTCTGGCCCATAAATTATTTCGGTCGAGGCACTGGGGATGGTTCTCTGAGTATCACCGATTTGAGTCGATAGCCGCCACCAACCCTCACGTGCAGATATATTATAATGCTTTGTTGTTTTCTTTATGTTACCAAAGTTTGGGGTATTACAAATTCGACTTTAGAATGCGCAGACGAGAATGCCGACGAACGCAGACCCTTCCAGCAATTGAGTGTAAGCAAGGAGGAAGGTGCCATTGTTACGTGTCATTGTAATACATTATTTTAAACAATAGTGTACAGCAGTGAGGTGCAACATTAGCCAGGCCAATGTTTGAAATTCCAAACTTTTTATTTCTGAACTAAAATAGTGACGTCAACACAGGTAACGTTTAATCTCCTGAAACATAACATTAAGCATTAGAAAAACTCATGGTTTGGAGTCAGTAAGAACTAAATATATGGTTGTTAATAATTTAGCGAATGAAATCTCATAACAATGGTACTGTATATAACCTACGGATACAGGTTTAAAAAATACCGTTCATCGACTGTTTTACGAACTGCATCTAAGTAATTTATGTTCGTATTCAGGTACAGTACTGTGTTTAGAATACATGACAATGCCACTACATTTTCTGAGTTATTTCGGTAAAGTCACATAGAATGGAGATAAAATAATGATAAAAATAATAACAGAATAAAATTCTCACGACGTTTCGGCCACAACACAAGTAGCCTTCCTACTTGTAGCCTTCCTACTTGTGTTGTGGCCGAAACGTCGTGAGAATTTTATTCTGTTATTATTTTTATTATTGTATCTCCATTCTACGTGACTTTACCGAAAGAACCCAGAAGATGAATCCCTGCAGTCACGAAAGCTTTAAATCGAAATGCCACTACAGTAGATATTAACACACATTTTTTTAATCACGAAAAAAAACCAAGAGAGGCATTTAAAAAAAAAACATCTGCATTGACTGAAGTATCTACAAATGACCTATTGGTGACCAAGCAAAACACAGATTGTTTGTACCATTGCATCTCCAGGTATACAGCAAAAAAAACAGTTTTAGTTGGAGGTGACCACTTGGAGCAAGAAAAACACATAACCGAAATGTCATCGGGCATCCGACTCACCGTGCACTTAGACATACAGTATGCGGATATGTGAAATGGAGAGCTATGCGAACATCTATATTATAATGCCAGCCACACCTTGACCACCTGATGGACAGAGCTAAAGCGCAAACTACGTTTAACATGGGCAAACGTGCTGGGCGTGTGAGATTGAGAACACGTTACCGTGTTGGCAAAGATCGGATTTGCGAACGTCTATATTTGACCAGAGTTGCATCACTGCGCACAAACACTGCACTGGGTATGGGTGGCTCATTGGTCAGAGTGTACATTGATGGTCGGATGTGCGACGCATTTGATGCCCTTTAATTCCCCCCTGGTCATCAACTGGCTTTGCCCTTTCCACTGAACTCTTACAATATATTTAATTTTGTATCACTTACATATGAAAGCAACATTAATTCATTGATACAAAAAAAATCACATTTTGTACATATTTAACATGAGTAATAATACTGTGATGTTGGAAAATAAACGAAACATCTTGCAACCACCCTCCCCACCCCCACATTGCGTATTTAAATGAAATACTTGCAACATTGAATGTCACGTCTCCACTAAAACACGTAGATTTATATTGATGTTACAAGTCAGCCAGCTCATTGCTGTTTTGAACAGAGTGGGCCAGTCGACATTACAAATACATCAGAAAAAGAACCAGGAAAAAAAGTCAAAGCATCGTTCCTACATCTTATGATTGTCACAGGCAAAGCTGTTATATATCTACGAGGGGAGGGGGTGGGGGAAACACTTTAAAAACACGTGAAAATGTCCCATTTTTGTTAGGTCTTAAGACACAATTGGTTAAAGAGTTATTTTACTATGTAATTGCTATGGGTACCCACAACATAATTCCACGCGAACGCTACACGTGTGGACTGTAAATTCAACACGTTGCCTTTCCGCGACCAATATTATCCATGGGGGGTTATATCACGTGAATTTAATTATGGCATAGATCCCACCTCCACCCGAAGATTTGTCATGTGAACAATACGTCCCAATTTGTTGCTACTTTAGCACAACGGTGTGTGGATAAACAAATTGGCGCGTTTTGTTTACGTGACAAACCTTATTCACAGGCCGTGTCTGGTGGAGGTGGGCATACGACACATTTACATTTATGCGATCTGATCCCCAAAAAAACGTCATCACGAACTATACGTTTGCGTGGTGCCTCAGTTGGTGCGTGTGTGCATCGGTGCACATGCTGTTTGTTCTACATTACAAAAGCCCGTCTTCGATAGCTCGACTTTAATCTTCCCATTCATCGTCATCCTCTTCTGGTTCTTCATCATCGTCCTCATCTGTGGTAACAAAGTTACACTTAAAAGGATGTCACCAATAAAACAAAATGACGAAAAATACGTCCGAAAAACAAATGCTTCGTGACCTTATTCACATTGCATTGCGGCTCTTGTAATATTGAGTTGTGATTTTTTTTTCCACCGAATTAGAAAAAAAATGACTCCTTTTGTTGTAGTGTTTGCCGACTCCTGGCCGAAAGTGTTGATAACAGTTAGGTTGAAAGGTTCAAATGGTTTCATTTGAAATGTAATATCACCCCCACTAACGGGGGAATCAAAACATTGAACGAAGACATTCAAAGATGTGATGCATGAAGGACTTCAAGTGTGTAACTGGGCCGCACTTTGTATCGCGGTCCTGCATGGTTACAACCGTGGGCATGTTATTTAGTCTGGGGTATGGAAACCGAGCATATTTATTCATTTAAATATATTTTGTCTGTGATGATTTTTTTTCTTGTCATGTGTATTTTTCTCTCCCGTTATTTATGTCTATCTTTTTTTATTTGCTAAGTAGTGGGGTTTTGTTTTTGTATCATCTGTGTAAGGGACTGGTGCAGAGTTGTGGGATGCAATCGCATGAATGACGCTCTATAAAATGACGTTATTATTAAAAGCACATGTCAGTGCCATCAAACTTTTTGGTGCGCAGACCAGCACTTGAAGAACCAGAGATTCTGTAAAGACAAGACGGCCCTCACTGAGATACAATACAGCGCTCTCTTTATGTGCCCCTGCTCTGTTAATTGGGAATCTAAATAATTGACATAATGCTCCTCCACAACGCATGATGAGTTTAAAATATACAGTATCGCTATTTTGGTGAACCCGTAGATTCGATTGTGTTCTTCCCAATAATGCCCAGTAACCCAGCTGCATTTGTTTAACAAGCCTGACATCTGATGAGACCCAATCGGTCAAAAATAGTCTAGTGGTTCCTCACCTAAACACACGCTGCTGGATAATATTGTTTGTACAGAAGCTAAAACTTATCGTTTTAATATGAATGTAACCAAGTTCATCAGATATTGGAAGCTAAGCTGGATTTTCGGGCCTGGTGAGTACTGAGGTGGGACAATGTCTGGAGATGACGAGATCGTTTAGGCTCAGACTGGCAAAGTGTGTCAGCCAGGGAGTTGAACGCGCATGGCAGGATGTCGATTACGAGAAATGGAGCGATGAAATCACTTCTTGTAAAGGAGCAAGGTGGATTGTTGGATCGTGGGATCATGAGCGATAGCAGCTGGCTTGGGGGAAGCCTTCATCCAGCAGTGGACTGGACCATGGCTGATGATGAAAATCTACAGTGGCCCCATTGGAGAGCGATATTTAAAAAGGATCAAAATCAGCCGATTGAAATGCTCCTGATGATGCTGGTGGAAAGCGGCGCGTGAAAGCGTTGTATTTCTCACCGGAGGAATGGATGACTTTGTTTCTCATCTCCAATGCTTTCATGAGCGCGCCCGCAATACCGGGAACATCCTCCGTGCAAGAGAATGAGGCAGGGCTCGTGGGCTCAGCCTGCGATCACGGGAACATGACACGCGTCTTTACGCACGGTGGATGTCGGAAGAGGTGAATGGTTCGCCAGGCACGCAGCCTTCTTCTTTTGCATGGCTGATGTAGATGCAGGGCAAGAATCCAGTTCATCAGCCGCTGCACAATGCAGATTTCTACCACAAACGCAATTTTGTGACAGTGGCCATGAATCTAAATGTGTGGAAATTCAAGTGAACACAATTATAGATCAACCTCGAGGGGCGCATCTGCAGCTTTTTGAATCGGAGAAACATAAAAACACGTACATTCATTTAATTCAGACACTCGGTCTCGTGGCGTGAAGTGGATGGCACAATTTGAATAACATTACGGGGTGATAAATCATATTAAAAAAACATTTGAAAAGAGCCGCACGACGAAGTAGAATCTCAAGACCGATTGTGTCAACTCACAGCCTTGAGTGAGATACCCTGGCGGATCTGGTCCAGCAGTGCCCCGCGTCTCCCTCCGCCTCCTCCACCTCCTCCCTGGGCGAGTGGCTCAGTTTGCATGGGCGGCGGGGGCAGCCCGGGTGCAGGGGGCACCCCGGGTGGAGGGGGCTTATTTGCCGGCGGGGGCGGCGGCGGTGGCGGCGGCGCTGACATGGCCGGGGGGCCCGGGGCCGGCCCGCACGGCGGTGCCCTCGAACCCTGCAGAGGCGGCGGCGGCGGTGGCGCTTGGGAGGAGGCAACACCGCGCTGGGTGGGCGGTGGGGGCGGAGGCACGGCTCTGCTGTTGAAGGGGGGCTGATGCGTCGGCTGTGGCGACGGCGGCAGGCTCGGGGGCAGAGTAGGGGACGGCCGGGAGGGCAGCGGACGGGAGCTGTGGCTGCGGCCTTTGGAGGGCTGCGGGGCTTCTATCTGGGGGGGTGTTGGTGGCAGCGGGCCGGCCCTGGGTGACATTGGTGCTGGCGGAGGCAGTCGCGTTGGTGGATGATCGATCAGTAAGGGAGACAAGATAAAAATGCACGTTGTGGTTCAACAGAATAACACTCGCACGGCATGTCGAATACACACGGACGCACATTCGCACGTGGCTCAGTCACAATAAAAGTATCAGCTCGTGCGTGGGTGCTAGGTAGGCTCGAGCTACGTCTCTGGCTATTGCCGGGTAGTGGTGGTGCCTGCCTGGAATCCAGCACTGTGGAGGTAGAGGGTTGGTGGATCACACAAACGCTGTGAAACTCCCTTCCCGTGGTCATGGAGGCGGCATGCCTTGTCTCTCCAGGAGAAGGCGGGACAGCAAGATGTGGGCTCCATCTGTTCCATCTGTATGTGGGCTCAATCTGTTCCATCTGTATGGGAGAGTGATTCCCCCTTGTGTGCGTAGATTTTCTCCATGTGCTTCGGTTTCCTCTTGTAAGCACTCATTGGCCGATAACACCTTAATATATAGAGGATCACAGAGCTTGGGAAATTGCTGGTGCCGGCTCACTGCCTGGCTGCCTCTCCGCTCGTCTCTGGTTCTTTGCGCCTCTGAGCCATTCTCTCTCTAGTCTCTACGAGAGTGAGTAAATATTATGCACGTTACAAGTTGAAATTATTCTTATTATTACATGGCAGGATGGTGATAGATGGCGATGCCTTTGGAAGGTCTTCATCCAGTAGTAGATTGACCATGGCTGATGGTGGCAACGGAAGTAAGTCACTGATGTAAATTTAAATTTTTATCGTACAGCAGGGGCTAGGGAGTTAAAACTTGCCACAAATATAGTTGAGTCGCTGGCTTTCTAACTTGCAACATTTGAAAAGCAACGTTTATAAAAATGTGCCTCCCCCACCCCCCCCCCCAAACATTACGGTCTGGCGGTTGCTTTGATTTGCTCGTAAGGCACAGCCACCCTTAAGTTCTAAATTACTTAACGTCTTCTGCTAAACACAAACATACGATCAGCAGGACCGGCGAGTCGAGAAATGCACCCACCTCCTGCGGAGTGTGACGCTACACCTCATATGAATCTGGTAAAGCCTGCCGCTGGTCACCGGAGAAGCATAAAGCACAGTGTATGCAATCGACACAACACTGGTTACGATTTGAGAATCTAAAGTCAAAGTGTTTTCATGGCCAGGAAAGGAGTGGGTGATGGTCTATCTACAGAGGCAGACCTGGGCCTGAGGTGGAAATTCCACACTCTAATAACAAAATGTAGTCCAATTTCCGTAGGTATATAACATATTAAGTCAACATTACATTAGTATGTTGCTGCGAGATCTCAACTGGTCAGAAAACGACTTGTAAGGCTGCGGAAACATTTGAAAAGGTAGAAAAAAGAGTAAAGGCGTTTAAAAAAAGCATTGGTTCGTCAATAAATATAAATTCCTCTGCTCACAAAACATTCATAGAATCGTGCGTGTAAAAGTACATTCGTATGTAAGTTTTATGTATATTTAAATAATGGCTTCATGTTACTACTGCAGTCACCGAAGGTCCTACCAATCGCTACAACATTAAATGGGTGTCGAAGTGTCGCACCCCAATTTCATTCGTCCTTAGCTTAGCGCCTCACTCGTTCTTCTATCGAGACGCAACACCAAAGGTCCACAATCTCAGTGACCACATCTTTAGCAAATTATTTTTTAAAGTGTAAAAATAGTATAAAAAAAATTCCAACTTCACATGGGGCACCATCAGCTGTGCCGATCTTCCTTAACGGCTCGCGAGGCTCGCGCTGGACGTCACGAGCGGCCGTCGCGGTGTTGCACGCGACGAGCGAGTGCCGCGGGGTCTCTCGACTTACGCTGCTGTGACATCTCGGTCTTCACCCCCTCCAGGCCGCCGTGGCTCTCGATGAAGTCGAAGATGATCTTTGACGTCTCCTTGTCCTTGAGCTGCGACTCGGAGATGCCAGCACTGTCGAAGAGCTTCTTCAGCTGCGGGTCCATGACGTTGGTCTGCAGCGGGGGTGGAGGGCGGGGGTTGAATTAGAGTGGCGCGTTGTAGTCAAAGTTACGTCCTCAAATCGGGCATTGAAACTAACTATTCAATATTCATTATTTGTATTTTACCACGCAAGGCCCCACTGAGCTGCATACTGTAGCTCTTTTTTCAGAAGCGACCTGGTCACAAATTATATCTCAACAAAGTGGCTTATGACGTGAAAATTTATAGTAGCTAAAATACTCTAAACGCATGTTTGTAAATGTGGAGAGAAAAACCGGAGGACCGAGAGAACACGGGAAGGACATGCAAACTCCAAATATACAGGTCGTTAGGGTCCGGATCAAACCTACGACCTCCTGTATACTGGGTAAGGTAGTTAACATCTCACCACCGTTTTCAGCCCCTTGCCAGCGCATGGAAATTCCTCATTCCTACGGCAAGGTCTAGTCTGTCCATTAAAAAGGAGGGATTTTTTTAGAAAGGGATATGATAATTATGCCAACTTGATATTATGCATTCACTCACATCAAAGCCAGCGTTGGGGTCCCATCCAACGTGTCCAACGTGTCTGAAACACACAACGAACCGATGAAACAAAACGGAAGAAATGTTAAAGTCCCTGCGATATAATTCTCTCATTATTTCTGTTCTGCGTTAGAAAGTGGCCCGTTACGGACGAGTGGTTGCTCGCAGTCAGGATCACGACAGCATATGTACGTGCCGGCAGATGTAACCCCCATCTCGGTCAACGTGCCGCGATGGCATGTGGTTGGAACCGTTGGGTCAACGTTGAATGTTGGGTGCTACGTCTGTTGCAATGTGTATATATGTAAGGACGTTGAACTCTTTTTTGCACCGTACGTAGCCGACCGTGCTAATCGGAGGTGCGTTTCAGCAATGTCCTCTTCGATGTGGAGCTGCAGTTGTAGCGGTTAGCGCTACGCTGCGCTACGAACCCGGCGACCCGAGTTTGGTTCCCACTCACGGCCAACACCAGTTACGATTATCTGAACAGGTCATGGGCCTTCCCAGGGTCGACTCAGCCTCAAATGAGTACCCGGTGCGGTGTGTAAACGTTACCACTGAGGAGACAAAGGCGGCCGGGCGTGGCATTGGCCACCCAGCTCGTCGAGTGCCGTTTTCGCTAACAGCATTTTCCACAGCAGTCTGTTCAGGCTCTATGGGGGGATACTTGTCCGTGTCTTTGTTTCAGCAAGATAACTCTGTGTGTGCGAGGAGTCTGGCATTGCCGACTCACTGGAAGTTGCTGGGCATCCCAATGTCAGCCTTGCAGAACTTCTTTTTCTTCTTGCTGCTGCTGCTGCTGCTGTTGTTGTTGGACTTGCCACTCGGTATCGGTGTCGTTGGTGTGTTGGGGATCACGGGCAGGGGCCGTGCCTGCTGCATGGGGAGTGTGTTTGACGACATTGCTGCAGAGAGAGAGAGAGCACGAAGCAAGCAGTTGTATGTATGGTGTGTTTAACTTCTTTCGCACCGTACTTAGCCAACCCCGCAAATCGGACGTGCGGGGGAAGGACAACAAGCTAAACGCGACAAAAGCAGTTTTAAAGAAATTACTTTTCAGTTGACGATAGGAAATATGAATTTGCGATAGCACTCATAATCCATTCACTGAATTACGGTGCCTAGACGTTACTGTAACGATGGTAATTTTAATCATATGAATAGCTCCGACAGTCTTGTGATTTTTTTTCAGAACAGTTCTACTTGAGTATCTGGGTTAATGCTTATGAAAATTTGCTTTATTTCCTATGATCTCACTCACTCACTCAATTCCCTCATTCATCATCCATAGAATTACCAACGCACAGATGGCTCCAAGACTCCCATCCTAATACGCTCCAATTAATATTGATCACTCATTCGCTCAAGCACTAATCTGTTATCATTAAGTCATGCACATCATCAGCATCATTCTTGATTTCACTAATTTTCTCTCTGTCTTCAACGCTCAATCGCATATTTGTTACTTGTAATTTTACTAAATCATTGCATATCTCATATCGGTGCAAAGAGGGCTTGTATGATGATAGTCTGAAATTAAATTCTCGACTCATTTCATTCAACAGGGTTGGTCAGCAAGGACACGTGACAAATACATTTCCGTATCGTCCTTCCACAAGGAAGTCTACACCTCCGTTACCTATTCTGGGAGCAAGTGCATTAACTTCGCAAAATACTCATCAGACCAATTCATAAACAACACTCATTCTACCGACGGATACCTCGTACACACCACTCATACACAACATTAAAACACAATACCCATACACGTGACAACCATAAATAAGACCACATATACACACACCCGTTACAGACACCAGTCATAAACAAGACTCCTACACACCGCACACCCCTGATACATACCACATATAACCCTGCTCACACACACAATATACACAACAACGATAAAGACAAGAACAATGAATACAATGAATCTGGTGATTAAAAGAAACAGTGTATTTAAGAGATGACCTTGTGGTTTAGATGCCACAGCAATGTGCTGGTACTATGAAGATCCTGGGTTAATATCTTGGCAGCCATCCTGTGGCTAGGCAGAATCTCAAGTAGGGTAAGTTAATCCTCCCAGCCAGGGCAGCACATTTGTACACATAAAACATTCATGTTCCAATTAGATTTTCGCTTATATTTTGGTTTGACTGCCATGTGGCAAACGTGTCTATCGTGGGGCGAGTGGGAGAGTTCAGCACCTCTCATGTGGACAAGGGATTATCTGGAGGCATCTCAAAAGTAGTTCTCTGATAGCAGCTTCCACAGGACATTCTCTAACATTGGGAGATGCAGTTTTGTACTTGAGGTATACATGGATGTGTTGCCTCATGAAATTGCACAAATAGCATGGACTATAATTTTTTTTAAGTTGCAAATTAGACTTTTGGGAGTCAGTTTTGCGTCATTTCAAAATGCAGTTTTCTACCAGAGATGCACTGGTGGGAAAAGCAACGATACATAGACATGTAAGTAAGTGCAAATGAACTATTCTAGATTTAGCTCAAGACATCTATAGCTCACGAACTGAGGAGCATTACCACTCACACACCTTAATTTATTTCATTCAAAACTGTATTGTTTTAATGCTATATCACTGCATTATAAGTCAAGAGAAAAACTAAAAAATCAACGTCAGCTGACGCCAATATTATACTCTTTAAGTGGCTAGGATTTGTAGTTTACATATTAGATGCTTTAATGACCGATAAGGGGGCACTTCCAAATGCTGACATTCTATGTGTCATGATTTGAAACTCTAACAGAATAAAATTTTTTTTATATCGACGGACCAGAAAAAAAAACACCACTTAGCGATACATTTTATTTAAACAATTAGGGGGGAGCATTGGCCGCCGTGATAATCGCTAAGTGGTGTGATATCTAAACTGAACCACCCCCATCAAAGCACTGGGCCATCAAATCTAACCCCCCCCCCCCCCACTATAATCAACTGGTCAGTGCAGTGAAGTACGGTCAAACAACCCTCGTGACCGATATGCCATCAGGACACCTTTATCCGGCAGTGAATTGACAACAGCGCCCTATGTTGAAGCGTAATTATATATTTTAAACAATAGCCAAACGCAGAAACGAGTGTGACATTCCGCTTCTGTGTAGTTGATCTAGCGGACCCAGCTGGACAAACGGAAGTACGTGGCAAGATAGCGGACATGCCGCTGTGCTGGCTTCCTCCAATAGCAGCTGCAAAAGAGGCACCAAAACAAATTTAAAAAAGTCCCCCAAAAAGGGATGGGGTTTAAGACGACGGCCGATGTCCGCTTCCCAAAGAGACAAACGCTTTTTTCTGTGCCCTCCCTCGCAATTGTGACGTCTTAACGGCGTCAGAAATCACGAGCAACTCGCTGAAATGACGAAACTCGCTTATGTTGAGACATTGGGTTAATTGACGCCGTTTTTGTTTAAGACATCTTGAGCTATAGATTTTTTTGGGGGCACATTGCAGCTATGTTGTTAATATCACCGCGCCACCGGCAAAGGAGCGGTGGTGCAGTAGTCAGTGCGATGCGCTATACATTGGACAAATTAAGCTAGATTCTTAGACACAGCTAGCATCAGCGGCGAGTAATATCTAAACAAGTACTGCCCCCCACCACCACCACCACCCCCTTCACCAACTCACACCATCGAGCATGGTGAAGTCTGGTCAAAGATGCCACACGACCGTCACGGCATACTGAAGCTTTCATCCGGGAGTGGATTGACCAAGGACTGCGAATTGTTATTCTTGTTAAAGAACAGTATCGTATTAGTTGGGATTACTTAATCTTTCAGCCATTTAATTCTGGTGTTATGTAAGATAAGGAACAGCTTCCATGTGTGCAGTGATACATGTGCGTGTGTGCATGCGGGTGTGGTGCTGGCCACCCACCCCTCGTGTGCCATGCTGGCCTTCATTGGTGCTCGCTAACAGGACTTGTCCCAAAGTCTTTACGGGGGAATTTTGTCCTTTGTTTACGTGGGAAACTCTGGTACAAATGCTCGCACACTAGCGCCTGTCCCTGCAGTCGATAAGGCGAAGCATGGGGTATGTGTGTGCAATGAAAACTAATTTTGGTTCATGTGCGTGTTGAAAAAGTGTCCATGCATTCGTGTCAACGTGTTCATGGATACTGCTGGATACGAACGTATGAGTCCGTATGGTACAATAAAGTTGGTAGTGGTGCAGCCCTGTGTCCCCGCACCTTTATGAATCGAAAGTTTGGCTACGTACGGTGCAAAAGAAGTTCAACATACATACATGATTAGCTCACGCCTTTGCTGGAGGATGGGCCACCACGAGAGCTCTAGAGTGTCCCTCAAGAGGGCATTTGGCCTACTCTTCCACACTGGCCATATGTCTTGTGGCATGATATCCAGGGTTAATTTTAGCCAGGTCTGTCCAGGCCCAGGACACGCTGGCGGGACGATGTCGCTCAGCCGGCCTGGGAACGTCTGTGAATTCCCCAGGAAGAGCTAGAGTCCGTGTAAAGTAGCTTCAAATCTAGAACTGTGTAAAGTAGTGGAGTGTACAGTGTTAGTAGAGTATAGTAGTGTAGAGTGTAGCTGTGTATAGTAGTATATAGTGTAGCTGTGTATAGTAGTGTATAGTGTAGTAGTGTTTAGTGTAGCTGTGTATAGTAGTGTATAATGTATCTGTGTATAGTAGTGTATAGTGTAGTAGTGTATAGTACTGTATAGTAGTGTATAGTGCAGTGTAGTAGTGTATAATGTAGTAGTGCTGGAGTCTGTGGCCTGGGAGAGGGAGGTGTGGACCGCCATTACTCAACACACTGCTGTAGTGTATAGTGTAGTAGTGTATAGTGTAGTATTGCTGGAGTTTTTGGCCGGGGAAAGGGAGGTGTGGACCGCCACTACTCAACACGCTGCCGCCACGACCATCTCTAGGACAAGCGGATTGAGAAACGAACGAAGACCTGCACACCATATCAGGTATACCTATTTTAATTGCCGTGGCTACTAGTCACGTGCCCAATCCTGTCTAGGAACGAGCCAGAAAATGTTCAGTGAGAAGTTAAGCCCTGACTGCATAAATGGATGGACAGAAGGGGGTGTGGATGTTGTGACGGGATTACAGATGCTGGAAATTGAATGCGAAATTGGTAAAAAAAAGAAATACACTAACACGACTGGTGTTTGCCCTACCTCTGAATGCATCAACAGTCGGATTTCCTTTTTTTACATTAGTGCACCAGTTAATATAGAAAACATTAAAATGTTAATTAATTGATTTCCTTAATGCCCATTTCTGCAATTAGTCTATTTAATATGCCACATCCATTTGAATTATTAATAACATATACTCATTTGCTCTTTATATTTTTATTATTATTAAATTCTATCAAAACTTAACTTGTGAGGAATATGACGTGTGTATGCGTACTGGTAACAGAAACACGACAGCAACACGTCACGGAGACTGACCTATAGCACTGAGAAACCACTTCTAAACACCTTTACTCGTTTCAAGGACAAAAGGTCATCATGACCTCTGCCGCTGAAACCTCAACTTGCCATCCCTTCTGCTAGATGCCACACTTGCTGCAAAGTAATCTAGCTACAGATGTCCCTGAGGTCACTGACATCTGGGACATGCCCTCTCTCAGTAACCTGCCCTCTTAACTACTGGACATCTGTGAAAAAGAGCTTTATAGCTCATTGGATTCCTCCAGTATAAATGTTCTCATTTAGTTTTAGTTTTTCCTGCACACTCATCCTGCCCATCACAACCACATCTTCCTTATTACACCTACAGTATTCCAAGTTGCTTAGCTTATCATGCCATAGTATTCCAAACGTCATCTAGTCACGTGTGTTACATAAAGAATAAGAGTTGCGATGTTTAATGTCTCTTCATTAGCCTATTATCTGCAGTTTTTCTTTAACATGAATGAAAGTTGTTAACATCAGAAACCATTACCAATGTCTGACATTCGGAAACCGTAAAAAAATTCTGAAAATTGTTATCGTTTAACAACCCTAATGGAATATAATAGACACAGTAACAGCAGATAATTTAACGGTCAGAAAAAAACTTATTTCGAATGCAAAGTTGTTAATGCCATTTTAACGTATTGTTGGCACCTCAGTAAATCTGGAATGTTGGACCAACGGTTCGAACCACGTGCCAATTAAGGGCAAAACACTGCATGTTTATTGGGACATTACTGCATTATCTTAACATGAAATTCGTTTGACTTTTTACCAGTTATTTGCATTATCATAAATGGGGGTGAGGTACAAACAAGGCAGCCAAAGACGTGATACCTCTTTTCTTGAGTTTCCTCCAGCGGAATTGAGGCAGGCAAGTGGTAGTAATTCGATCAACGTCTTCATCCTCAGGACGGCTACACCTAACCTCCCATAACACCTTCTCCAGCATCATCCACAAAGCTTCCCTTTCATTGTTCGCGGAACCTACGTCTGGACAGGACCTTGAGAAGGGCAGGCAAAGTGCAGGCCCTCCATTTTTCTCCAAGCATGCCCCCGCCGTCTCGTCCAAAGGTCCACTCTTTAGCGGGGCGCATCGTAAGAGCACATACTCTACGGGAATCTGCTCGGCATGCCCAATGGGCAGCAGATGACTGACGGGTCCACCGTTGTCCACTCGCGCCTCCGCAGTGCCCTCTTCAATGGAACACTGTTTTCCGAGGCACGCGAGGACGCTGCGCTTGTCTCCCAGACAGCTGCTGATGCTGCTGCTGCTGCTACTTGACTTTCGTGCTAAACTCCTAGCTATGCAAGGCTCCTGGTCTTCAGGCTGCTGCAGTGCTAGCGCCGTGCAAAACATCCTGCCGTCCTCACACCTGTCCGTCGGGTAATCCCACAACTTGCAATGCCCTCTTTGTTTTGATACCAGTCCTAGCGCTTCACAGTTGCTTGTTATGTGTATGCCGAGACTGTAGTACAATTTTTGTTAGTTGGTTGCTAGCAATGCATAGCGGGGAGCTTTCACTATGAGAGCTGTTAAACAAACAATAAAATGTGTCTGTGGAGGTAGGGACTGGTCGAAAGCAAACAAACAAATACATTGGCTGTGTGGGTGAGGAAAACAAAACAAAGCGTGTGTGTGCGTCACATAGCTCGCCATCTGTCACTTCCTTTTTTTTCCGTAAGCCTCTGGAATTTAATCTTGATTTGATGCCAGAGCGTGTTTGTAAAAGTTTCAGGGCCATGGTTAAAAGGGTAAAACCCAGGCTTGAACTGTAAGTCCGCAGATTAGGTACGCAGTGTCGAACGGAATTCGTGCAAATTGCGTCCACGTGTGGATTCTTGCCCCCCTTGCTGTAACGTTTCCCAAAATCAGTTTCAACGATGACAATTTGTGTTACGAGAAATGCAGGAGCTCAAAATGAACGCGTAAATATTCGTGGGGTTTTTTTCCCTCCCATGATGTAACATGCCCTCCTACGGTTCGCTTTTAGATTAATCAGAATGGCCACGTCTAATGCGGATGAGCTATATAAAGCTTTGTTTATGTGTGCGTATGTGCATTTTTTTTTACCAGGACCATTCATGGCAAGTACTGTATGTATATAGTTTCGCCGAACTTCCGAAATACGTTCCTTAATCAATGTAATCTTTTAACAAAAAGTGTCCATACGTTTATATAATAGTCCTATTCTATTTCGTGTGCATATAAAATACTGGACAGAGCAAATAAAATACTGAATTTATCCAAGATAAGAGCTAACATTTGGATGGTAATTCAATTATTTTAAAAAGGTTCTGATTTTTAAAAGGCCACCTGACAGAGCCACCAATTTCCCGCTCTTCTTAGCCTGGCACCGAGGCAATCCGAATCAGGCTATTGATTTAATACTGGAGGAATCTGATGAACTATGAAGCTCTTTTTTCACAGATGTCTGTCCAGTAAATTCAAAGATGTTCCAATCCAGCCCCATGGGGCCCAGTGCCGGTGCACCGCCTGCTCACGCGATCTCCACGCCACTGCCACCCGACGTAAACTCACTCCGGCGAACGTGTTGTGAATGGTACATTTGATGCAGGATGTTGCTGTAAAGTTTGCCCACTATTGTTATGTGGGTGCAGGACTGGGTCGGGCCAAGTGGAGAGTTAATCCACGCCTAAAGCAAGACAGGCAAGCAGAGCACAGACGGATTTGCCTGGATAATGTGAAAATACCAACTGTAAGCCCTTCAACAATTGTACCTAGACGACGTATACGCACCATTGTGCCATTTAATGATACATCTGTGGCAATAGTAAGTGCAGTGCACACACGCTGCATGATTTATGCGTATATAAATTACTACATAGTAATGACTATTGCATAGGATATAGACTTGTTTGTGTAGTCGTAGATACTGTTAATGAGTTCATGTTTATACTCCGCATTTTGGCCAGATTCTAGTGTTGATTCATTCTCCATGTCTCCATTAACAATAATAAGGCACATTTTCAAGAAGTGAATCTAAGTATATATTAATATGAAGTGTTATATTATCCAGCAATTCCCATATACTGTTAATTACTGTACCTGTGTATATATTATGGAGTTTATACTTGAAACAAAGTGGCTGAGGTTGATTAAAATATAGTATTGCACATCACAAAATGTGTGTTTTAAATGTACAAATGCGGACTGAACGTCACGAAATGTTACAGTAAGTAAACACATATTGAAGTGAGTTCAGACAGCCATAAGCAGATACATTTGAGTTCAACTAAAGTCATGTTTCAATGATCATTTTGTTGGGCATGCCCTCAGAATTTTCGGCTAGAGGCTGCTGCTGCGTAATGTCTCAATGGTTCCTAAACGAGGGAGAAGAAGAAAATGGGTGAAGTGGAACAAGAAGATAAAAGGTGTTTTTGAGGTGAATTTTAAACAAAAGTGGTCCTGCATTTAATTAGAAGAAAACATAAAAACTATTTTTTTTTGTTTTGTTTACCGAGAACTATTAAAAAATAAAAATTGGCAAGAGTTGATTGCAACTTTTTTTGTCATCATAGCCTCCAGGGTGCCCTGCAAAGTATAAATGATCAGACAAATCCAAAAAAGCGCAGAGTTTCTTCTGAAGATGAATAGGTTCTGTCGAGCTGCAGGCTTCAGCACACTACCTCTATCAGTGACAGCCCCACCACAATTTGTACATATATATTTCATGTCCGCTATAGACTGGTACAAATATAAATCCTGTAATACCATTACACGATAATAAAACATTATAAAATAACGCTATGAAATTTCATCGAACATTTCATAATAATAGTTGCTCAATCTTCATTGTTCCAATGATATATAATTAATTTTAAATTGCTCGATTGTTTGCCATCTTTGAAAGTGTACGCCATTGCTTCTTCAGCAAGGTTTGTAAATGAAAATGCATTTTTTTAAATTCAGAGTCAATGACAAATACAGCTATTTTTTATAAGTTTGTTGGGAAATAATCCTTGCTGTCGACCACCAAATGCCTGTCTGGAATGACTTTCAGCAACTACAACGCTCTGCTGAATAAATTAATATCATCTTTGTGGAAGAGTTGACTAATTTCCTCTTTAAATAGGGAGGTCATGCAAATGGTAGTGAGAGGAGTGTGTAGAGCTGATCACTGCCTTCATTAATACCGTGATATTCTCCGAAGTCTGTTGGATGTATATTACTAATGCTGTGAGCAGTGGCGAAGTATATTAGCCCACTGTTGGATAATCAACTTCAAATTATGCTCTCAATAATCAAATTTCAGCCCTCATCGTTGACTCTAATGTAATACCGAAAGCTCAAAACCGCGTTGGCAGTGATACAGGAAAAAAATGCTGTAAATATTTGAACACGTCACCCTTATTGAGGCGCAGGCTAGGAAAACACATATTGTGATTATTTTCACGAGGCCATTATATTTGGCACATTGTTAGTACAACCACTTATGGTGGTGATCAGATATAAGGCCCTTGTCAAATCGCCCAATGTTAGTTGCGGTGGCCATTTTTAAAAAAATGGCTGCCAAACAGCAATATTCCACCATCATTGGCATGAATGATCACTTTACTACATTTCATGGTGTTACAAAAAATACTACGAATTCGTATGCTTTTGATGACACTTTGACTGAGTTATTCGCAAACATGGCCTTCAAATTAAAATGTAAGCTGTTACAGTGCATATATATGATAACATTCTGTATAGGTATTGATTGCTAATTTTGACTGAGGTTAATTATTATCAACAAGTGCAGTCCTGGTCATATATGTTGGCATAGGAGTGTGCAGTACTTGACAATAAATGTGCTTTAGGGTTGTGGACTCACCATTTTGACCAGGGGTAGGAGGCAATTCTATGTTTTTTCTGTCTGATGAAGTGAACAAAACACAGACAATTGCCACACGTAAACAGCAAATACAGAATATATTGGGGACAAATGAAAGATTAATATTAATTCTTAAGCTCCACAACACATGCATCGAATCACTCGTGTAATAACGATTTTCGATTCGTTTATATTGTACGTAGTGGGTCCACGTGAGTTCTGCAGCCACTGGTGGCCGCTACATTCATCAATGTTGATTTAAAAATAATAATTGCAACCCTGTATCGAGAAAATGTAATTGAATCACCAGGGGATACGTTGTTACAACTCTCGTATACATTATACACACGGGTATAACGAGGGATTAAATGAAAACAGAGGTAAAAAATAAGCTGCAACAGCCGTGCCATCGTTATCACTGTCATAATCTTCATGATCATCCTTATCACATGCGTACACATCATTGTCTCGATCATTATCTTCATTATCACCATCCCCATCGACATGATAATCGCTATCATCCCCATCATAATATTCAACATTGTCTTCACCATCATCATCTCCTTCTTCGTTTCTAAGTAGCACTAAACGCTATCTGAGGTGGCCCACGCCTGTAATCCGGCAGTGTGGAGGCAACAGTTGATGGATAATGTCAATTGATGAACTCCCGAATCCACTTGGCTGTGGGTTGGTCAGGGTGCGGCAGTAAAGCAAATGGGTTGCTGACCAATCTGTGCAGACCTATGAGCGTTATCCCTTCATATTGTATGTGTTTCCTTCGATTTACTGTTTCCAAATATTTATTTTTCCCCACATACAAAACACTAATTTTAATATAACTGACAAAACATCCAGATGTTGGACGCTCCTGATAAGCTGTAATGAGGCTTTTCTAAATATGCAATTCACCAGGGAACTCTCAGAGACTGCCAATGCCTTCGAGAATGTGAGAATGCGCACACTTGTGCCACCTGCAATCGGACACAAACTCGTCTCACATGCGTATAAATGAGTGCTGTAATCAGTGCTTCCATTTTACACTCATTACCTTTCCTTTGATGCCTGCGCTGGAGCTTCTCCATTATGGCCTCTTGGAACAACCTCGCCTCTTCATCGCTGGCGAAGCTCAGTCCGGCTTGACAATCCTGCATCGCAATGTGCAAAGGGCACAGTTGTTATTGTTTTTACTTCCGTTTGCCCAAGAAAGGCCTTATTGGCTCTGAAGACCCTTTTTTCAGGACGTTCCTGCCCCCAGTGTCACTATAGGTTAGTCGGTATAATTATAAGTGATCTTAGTTCAGTAATTCGCAGATACTTTTTCAGCTTTGAGATATTTGACCCATTCCAGTTGCATTGTATGTGTTTATTTAGAGTGAAGGGACGGAATCAGATAACCTTTGAGGAAACCGAGCCAGAATAGAGGGAAAATATAACAACGCCACATAGGTGCACGAGTCATGAATCGAACCCCGGACCATCTTGCTGTGAGGTGCAAGCATTACGACTGTGGCACACTGCCACCCAGAGTTATTTACATTTCTTTACATTTAACAACACTCGAATACGAGAACCCACAATGCATTCCCAACAGCACTCTACAGACAGATTATTAGAGATTCTGACAAATGTTTTAAAGCAGTAGTGGTGGTGCTGGCCCATTAGGACACAAAAGCAGAACTTATTTTGGGGGTCCCACTTTTTTTAATTTTTAAATCCTAGCGAGATGACCGAAGAGATACAGACATGACATATAGATGTACTGTAGTGCGATAAAACAAATTAAAAAGAAAGATGTAGTGAGATGTGACAAGAGAGATGAGTAAAATTTCGAGGTGAGAGAGAATAAATGGATGATCATGTTAAGTATTTTTTGTTTTGTTTATTAGGGTTTTATGAAGCCCTTTGAGATGCTTGGGGACTTACACTTGTATTTAGTTTCCTTATGCCTATCACTGCCACCGCTTACAAGGTGGTTTTGTTTCTACTCTTAGACGTGGTTTTCCAAAAAATGACTGCTCATGCATGATGCTTGTTTGTGATTCAACCAAAAAACGAAGAATGATTGAATTGGCAACTGAATGGAGATGGACTTTGGCAAGAGCCTCCATCCAGCCTCCACTCAATGCGAGGCCACCCCGTTTCAAATTCTGCCCATCTCATCTGGAATTCCAGCTGCCTGGCCAGTCACACTGCACACTGCTGACAACATCCCTCCATTCAAAATCCAGGCCTAAGACTTTATCCTCTCCTCTGCCTATTACGATCCCTTCTCTGCGAAAGTGTTTCCAATGTAACATTTATGAGACTGTCGCCCGATTTCCCATTCTGCCCTGTAGCACTCTATCCCTCGCTCCATCCTGTAAGAAGAAAAAAATCCTTCATCTCTCCATGCACATGACCCCCCTTCATTCTGATACAATGGCTTGAGATTGAGTGACATTTCGACACTTTACATATGCAAAATGAATTGCATAATTAGTGTTTTCCACCCATATACCCCAGCAGTGCTATTGGCATCATATCGTGATTCAAACTACATCCGTTCACAATTCTGCAGCTAGTGCATCGCCGTGCGGCAGAGAATGGCTCTGGAAGATAACGTTGAAGCACTACTTCAATTCACGCGATCTTTTTATTTACACTTGGGGCACACATTGTATATGCCCTGAAAGTAATATTCATCACAAAATCGTACTTAATAGTAACAGTTTCATTTTATATAGCGTCATTCACGAAATTGCATCCCACAATGCTGCGCGACAATTATCCAGTTGTGTGCACAGATAATACAAAAACAAAACCCCACGACTTAGCAAAGGAAAATAAATAAATGAAGATAAATATATGCACAGAACAAGCAAAAATCATCGCAGATAAAATACTTTGAATTAATAAATATTTTTTACGTCTCCATACCCCAGACCAAAATAACAATATTTCGCCGGATTTTCAGAGAACCTTCGCAGGAGGGGTGGTAAAGTGGCCAAAAAGTTACGAGCCAGTTGGACAATAATTGTATATATATTTTTCCTGCGTATGCCAGAACAAATAAATAGGCATTTAATGTTAAACTCTCACAGCTGCAACAAACCCAATTAAGTATAAAATGTATGTTTTTAATATATAATGGTTTTGTTGTGAAGTTGTTGGTGGCTTGATTGAAACAAACATCTAATTAAGGACCTGATTTAATATTCAAATGCCGAAATATGAACTGAAACCCAGAATCTTAGCAGTGCCAAAGTTGCATTGTAGCAATGTAGTTTCATAAACCCCTTCACCGGGCATACTTCATAACTGCAATACTTTCTCCAAAAGAAATGTGACCAAACTACTGCAAAGGCATAACCTTTTTTTAAAAAAAACTCCCCAGAGTTAGTTAAATAATAACTATACATCTTTTACATTATATTATTTTAACCACTGCTTTTCTCACGCCATGCTGGTTGTCGGAGTTCTTCTACCATACTTCTCCAAAATAGCACCGGTTCAGATATAACTCGCTATAAATGCTACAAATAACTGTGGCTGGAAATCAAACTCAGGATGTCACGTTTGGAGCAGCACTGCATCGCCGCCCCATCTCCCCTCGCCAACGAGACCCGCATCAATTTGTCCACGCAACAAATGGTTGTTTAATATTCGTATGCAAATGATCCACAGGATGTATTGCAATGTTGCATTTAGGGGTCTGGTGCAAACTGAACTGTACAAGTAAGACGATAAAAGAGGAAACAATACAAACGAGAGTAAAAAAATACAAACGAGAGTAAAAATGAGACAAAAAAGCACATTCTAGAATCTAATCGCAAACTCAAAGCACGGCAATCCGAAGGGGGCGGGTTGGCGGAAGTGAAAGCGCCGCCGTGCCCGGTGATTAGTCCCTCGGGAAGAGTCAACGCGTGTTTGTCGTTCTCCATCACTCAAGTAGCACAAGCATCAGATGCGCTTTGTTTAACCAGGATGAGAACTCAAGAAACCAGGGTAGCCTCTGTTGCAAGAGTGACCAGGGGGAATTAATCTGCCAGTAGGGAGGGGGTGGAGGGGGGGGGGGGTGATGACTATGTATGATCCCAAATTGAGTGATTTTTTTTTCTGTTCATTTTCGAATTTGGCAAAATGTTTAACCTTGACACTGGCAAACGCTAGCCGACTCTTTGCGCATGACGTGAGGGGATCTTTAACTTCCATGGTTGTAAAAAAAGCATGGCATGGATGAGCAGGTTAAGGTCATTAACTCCCAGTCCTCCTTCATGTGTGCAAGATAGGAAAATAAATTCACAAACGTTGGTTGCGAAAAGGGTGTTTTCTGAACAAAAGTAATTATTGTTATTATTAACGTAAAATGTTTACTGAAGTACATAACAAAAATGTGTGTTGACAAATGTATTGTGCTTAATTAAGAAAATAAATGTCCTACGTTGCATATTATGTTTTTATTGCGCAATGCACTTGTTTATAACATAGGTCACCCTGGAATTAATCATTTTATGTCTCAATGGGGGTTCTCATGCCATGATAAAACTTAAGGGGGTGATATCAGAGCGGCATAGCGAGAGTGCCATGGAGATGTGTTTGACCATAATTTCAAAGTCTTATTTTACGTTAACAAAGATCCCCCGTATAGCCTTAACAGACTGTAGGGGCAAGTGCTGTTAGCGAGCACCTATGAAGACCGGAACGGTACACGAGGGGGTGGGTGGCCAGCACTACGCCCGACCGCCTTTGTCTCCCTAGTGGCAATGTTTACACACCGCACCAGGTACTCATTTGAGGACGAGTCGACCTAGGGGAGGCCCGGGACCGGTTCAGATAATCGTCACTGGTGTTGGCCGTGAGCGGGAATCGAACCCGGGTCGCCAGGTTCAGAGCGCAGCGCACTAACCGCTACACTAACAAACAAACACACACACACACCCGTTGCATTGACGAGTTCACCGGTCTGATCTCCCCGGCACCCCCAGTGCCATCTGTCCACCCAGCAGTAAACGTG